TTCATCAACAACAACTTTCCCGGATATTCAAACGGAAAGCGTTTCTGATACACAATCTTTCTCGTTAATTCGAGTGTCACTGTTGACAATTTAGGGGATTTTCTTAGATGTCTTCTTAGAGATTCCCTATGGAAGAATTGCTATATTTCTATACATCCTTCCAGCAAGAAAACTAGTAAGCAGATTGCGGTGCCATCTGCAGACCATTTAGGAAATTGAGTTCTCAAAGGGTGTGCCAAATTTTGTTATTTACTGACGAGGGTAATCTCTCCTCCTTCAGGCTTCTTCTTCTTCTTTGGACTTTATATTGGGTTTGGCAATATACCACCACCAACTGGACTGGAGTGTGTCTTTCAATCGCCCACGTGGGTATATGCTCCTAAAAACCAATGAGGAGATTGGAGAGGTGGAACTTGCAGCGCGTCGAGCTTCACAAATCGAACCAAGTTATATTTTAGTGCCTGGCCATGCAGACGCTCGCTAACGCGCAATTAACTTGTTTCTATTTGTGGGGGAGGAGAATTAACGATGAGGCAGATCAAATGAACTTTGAACGCTTTTATTCAAATTCTTAAATTGCAAAAAAATAAAATAATCATAATCATGCCGCAAAAGGTACCGGATCCGGCCAAATAGGAATGAAACAGTGAGGATCCTGCTCAAATTAAGTACTGCTACTGACTCTGTAACAGTATTGCTTCCATCCCTCTCCTTGCCTCAACCTGGGCTCAAACCACAAACCCCACTTAACACATCGAGAACTTGTCACCTACAAAGCATCTTCTTCTTCTTCTTCTTCTTCTGTGGGCTTTATGGCAGACTACATCCAAAAGTTGTATTGCCACCAGCAACTGGACGATTTGAAACCAAAAATAAAATTAGAATAACTAAATCGATACTTAATAGTGATTCTAACAATCCACCCTAATAAAACTCCTTTGCTGTGAAATCTTTCAGCCCCAGGAACCGCTTGGCCACAATCACAATGATTTCAATCTTCCTAGATCTTTTCTCCACCTTAGCAGCACCATTTATCACCATTGCAATAAAGGCCACAAAGTCCACCTTTTTAACCTTTAAAATGTCAGGATCATCTTGGTGAAAGGCAACCCCTGCAGACTGCATTGAAGGCCTATCCACCACCATGCTCTTCAGGAGCACCATTCAAACCCTTTTAACCGCTGCTGCATAAGAAATGCTCTGTACAACCCTAACTTTGGCCACCTCATTTTCTTTCACGCTTGTCGGGCGTTCGAAAGACATGGCTTCATGGTTCCCACCACAATTGCAACATTTCACTTTTCTTCACTTTTATAACACATTAAATGATATTTTCCACAACTTGGACATCTCGGTTTCTCCCTTCTGCAAACCCCTGACACATGTCTTGGGATAAATGCTCTGACTTGTAGTTTATATACACCAACTGAACTTGAGTAGGGAGAGACTCCATATCAAAAAACAAAAGAACAGATCAACTCTTCACTTTTTCATCATTCACCACTCAATTCATCCTACGTGCATCAATCACTCCAGGAATATTTTTTGGATCTTTAACATTGACTTCCCACGAGACGCCAGATATTATCCCCTTGAGGGGTGCCCTGTTCTGAAGAGACACACATGTCAAACTTTTCAAATCGGGAGAGCAGCAACACACGTTCCTTCTGATCCTCAGAAGTACAAAAAATCTAAACAAACTCGCCTCTCGTGATCCTCACATCCTTCACTTTACACATCACTCTCTCCACCAGTTTGGATAGCTCAAATGGATTCTTCAAGATTGGTATTTCTATAAGCTGCTCCTCACTAATAAACCTTACTCCTACTGTACCTTACTTTGCTCCTTTTTCCATTCTTTTGAACAATATTCCAATCCTCCTTGATTCTACCGCCATTATATTCACAATCCACTTCATCGTCCGCCATCTTTTCCATCCTCGTTTCTAGTTACCCACCTGTCGTCGGGCTCTTCCCGACCCATCCTTACAAAGCATCGTTACCTATCACTCTACAAACGTCACGGCCCTTGCACCCTCATGCGCACGTACGCACGTTCATTCACTCACCACCATTCCTGCTGCTTATATTTATTACTATTTATTTGTATTGCTCACTTTAACTACTTGTTGATATAGCACATTTCATAGTACATACCATTACTACTAGTTGTACTCTTCGTTTTAAACCTTTTAATATTTGTTTACCACTTGCCTTATTGTGTTAATGTTGTTATTTAGATATTTCACTAAACTGTTGGGAGGTAGCCCAAAAATGGACCAAAGGAGCCTAATGTTACTCCTTATAGTCCAAGGACCTTACATGTTCTGTTAAAGACGAATTGGCTCTTTAATGAATCGATTCTCAATAGCAGTATGGTTATAGAAACATAAACCCCTCTAATTTCATATCACATCAAAATAATTTCACTAATGCAAAATACACACTTTTAACGTGTTTCTAACACAGTTGCAGCCGACAATATTTTTCAGTGACAACACGTTTGTGGCGTCCGTCTTCCATTTACACACAGGTGTTAGGAGACGCAGATATCTAATTAGAAAATTATTTCTTGCTTATATGAAAGATAAGGTTATTTTGCTTCCAAAATTGTAACACAAGCAATGCGTGTTAATGTTCAGACCGAGTGTCGGGGCTCTTACCAAAACTCCTCCGTACAGAAGACGCCTTCGTCCAATGGCTCTTATGTGTAATGCAATGGAACAGAGAGTCATGATCAAGGGCTATGTTGAGAAGTAGCTTGCAAGTAAGCATTTCATTGTACTGTTTATACCCCACTGTATCCTGAGTATATGATAAATATTGTGGATTTGATTTCATTACATTTGATTCTGTTTTTGAAGGTACAGATGCTTGCCATTTCAGGAGACAGTTCTAAAAGAGAGTGCACCAGGGCTATGTCTCCAAGTAAATTCAGCCAGGAGAGCTATACTTCTCAGACATGGCAAGCCAGCAAGAAGGGCACACTTGGTGGGTCAACACGGAATGCAGTTTAGCCTTTATAGGGAGCAGATCTTCAAGTGGGTGGTTGAATATGCTCTGGCGTATGCTGTTGGCATCGATGCAGAGAGATTCGAGAATCTACCTCTCAGCCAGCTAGGAGTGATGCAAAAAAGCATTCTGCCAATAAAATGACTTTCAAGGAGTACCTGGAGCTCCCACCCCATCTGACAGCATCCAGTCCTCACCTCTAACCGCATCAGTCAGTCTGCTGTCCTTCGAACCTCTACGTGCTACTCCACCACCTGGACCTCTGTCCTCCACACCTGTGCTATCCTCCACACCTGTGCTATTCCTCCACACCTGTGTTATCCTCCACACCTGTGCTGTCCTCCACACCTGTGATTTCCCACAGCCAGATGTCTGCCACTCCTAAATAATAGTCATAATAATAAAAATGGGATTTACAGCGCCTTCAAATCAAATCCAATTGTATTGGTCACATACACATATTTAGCATATGTTATTGTGGATGTAGCGAAATGCTTGTGTTCCTAGCTCCAACAGTGCAGTAGTATCATCATTACACACAAATCTAAAGTCAAATAATGGAATTAAGAAATATATAAATATTAGGACGAGCAATGTCGGAGTGGCATTGACTAAAATACAGTATATACATATGAATACAGTATATACATATGAAATGAGTAAAGCAGTATGTAAACCTTATTAAAGTGACTTGTGTTCCATTATTAAAGTGACCAGTGATTCCATGTCTATGTATATAGGGCAGCAGCCTCTAAGGTGCAGGTTTGCGTAACCAGGTGGTAGCCGGATAGTGATGGCTATTTAACTGTCTGATGGCCTTGAGATAGAAGCTGTTTTTTCAGTCTCTCGCCATTCAGAAAACCCAAGGACACTGTACAGTAAAGACTATAAAACAAGAATAATACAATAAAAGGAATAAAAGCTTCATCCCAACATGATTTGAACATGCAACCTTCTAATCTGGAGTCAGGCCCACTACTGTTGCAGCACGAGGTCTTGGTTGACCACCAGGTCTGCAGGGGAAGCATGGTTTCATGGAACTGTTCCATCAGACGATTCCTCCCCATCAGAACGGGCTTCCCCCTTGGCTTCCCCCCCTGATTAATGTCCTGAACTGGGCAAAGAAGGCAGAGTTTGCATGTGTAAAAAACTTTGCAGACAGCAAAGCGCTTAGTCAGAGTATGCTGTGCATATGCCACCCTTCAACCATGATCGCAATTTAGGCAGTGATTGTATTCAAGGAACTTATAAGGACTGATACACTGTTTTAAATGTGATAAGGTAGATATCAGAGCACTTAACTCCTTTTGAACAATTGATGGCGCAGCTACAGAAACTCCAGTACAAAAAAGTTAACCTGATTGTGACTCTGTAATGAAAAAAAAAAAACATTATTTTCAGACAATAGTTTTTTTTTGACATTGTGGAGAAATCATAATTATTAGTAATAATAACAGATTCCAATAAACTAAAACTAATATGGTACCACTGTGGTAACACACTGAAATGTACACTTGATTTCTTAATAATTACTTTTTATACGGCTGCATTGTAATACATTATTACTGTTAACAATTATCCTATTGCAAGTACCAAAACTTTTGCTCGGCAGACCATGAGGTTTATACAGGTCTGTCTCAATTTTAAATAGACCCTTTGTCCCTTATCCTCTAGTCACACCTCGTACCCCTATCCCCTAGGCACTTCCCCCCAACCTTCAGCCCACTAATATTAGAACTGAAACATAAGATATGAAATATGGGGACAGCTCAACCTTGAGCTTGACTTGGTAGAATGGTCACCACATTCTTTACATCTATCCCATTTCAAGGTCAATCTCCACAAGTATATAGGGTTTTGGTGGTAGGAGAAAGGTGCTAGCTAGGGTGTAGGGGCTAGTTGTAGGGGCTATACTGAAGAGGTTAAGGGGGGACTAACGTACCCATCTCTATGCTTGTCAATTTCACCAAATTATTACAACCGAAAAACAGACATGCTTTTTTTAATTGTCAGCATATCTAAAAAACAAGGACATATTAACTTTATCAGTGTTTTAGTTAAGGCAGTGGAAACCCTTGTTCAAACAAGTGACTGAGGTTGATTGTGTTTTGCTGTGGAATGGGAAAGCCATAGAGATATGAGAGCGATAGTAGTGTTCGTTGAGAGTATAAAAGAGTCCAGCAGCCTATGGAGCGATGTACAGAGTAACCATGGGCAAACTACTCATCTGCATCGGTAAGTGGAATTACTTTTAGGCTAATTTAGCTTATAACTGCACTAATGCTCTTTCTATCTTTCAAAGATTTTATTTTAATTTTCATTGTAATGGCAATTACCAACATTCAAACATACAAGGCTCTGTACTACAGCTTTGGCTCCCTGTGGAGAGAATAGGCCACTGACGAATGTCCTCTAGCTATGCATTTTGTCAATGCTACTGTGGTCAATGTTTCTAAGGACTGAGGTTGCCAGCCCCATGACCAGCCTATATTCATGTCTGAGGGAAGGAACTGCACTTTATATAATTATCATTACAGTTCTAAGTAATGCTGACTTTTTTCAAGTTTGATGTAACATAAACTCTCTCTCTTTCTCTTTCTCTTCCTCCCTTCTTTATTTCTGTCTCTCTCTTCCCCTCTTTCTCTCTCTCTAGGACTGGCTCTCCTGCTGCATGTGCAGCTAGGTATGTTTTAAGTACATTTACTTTACATGTAGCCAATCAGAGAACAATAACTCGACTTACAGAGCATGACAACCATGACTCTAAAACTGCCTCTCCTAACTCTACCATTACTACTACCGTTCCATAGGGTCCTCCTACATCCTCTCCTGTTATTTCACTAACTGGGGCCAGTACCGGCCAGGAGCAGGCAAGTATTTCCCCACCAACGTGGACCCCTGTCTCTGTGACCATCTGATCTATGCCTTTGCCGGCATGGCCAACAACGAGATCAAGACCTACGAATGGGACGATGAGAAACTCTATGGACAGTTCCAGGCTCTCAAGAACCAGTGAGAGAGAGAGAGACACACACACACAAACACATGCACAAACACACACTCAAGCAGGCATGCACACATGCACATACACATGCATGCATGAAGGGACGCACACAAATACACAAATGCAGGCAAACACATTCTCATTCAGGCATGTTCACACCACAGGAGTTTGGTGGCACTTTAATTGGGGAGGGCGTGCTCTTGGTAATGGCTGGAGCGGAATTAGTGGAATGTTATCAAATATATGAAACACATGGTTTCCATGTGTTTGATGCCATTCCATTTGCTCCATTCCAGACATTATTATGAGCTGTCCTCCCCTCAGCAGCCTCTGGTGGTACACACACATGCACACATAAGCCAGGACTAACCCTAAATCTTGTATTTGCTAACAGGAACAGCAACCTGAAGACTCTGTTGGCCATTGGAGGATGGAATTTTGGCACTCAGCCGTAAGTGGAGATACACACACACAAGTGCACACACACATGCCCACACATACCCTGTGTCTGAGCCGTGTGTGTGTACACAGGTTCACAGCGATGGTGTCCAGTGCAGCCAACCGCCAGACGTTCATCAACAGCGTGATCAAGTTCCTGAGGCAGTACCAGTTTGACGGCCTGGACATTGACTGGGAGTATCCCGGATCCAGAGGATCCCCGCCCGCAGACAAGGCCAGATTCACCACCCTGCTGCAGGTTAGACTCAAACACCCATACACACAAACACACACGTGAATGAACAAACACGGATGAACACACATTAATAAACACACACACACACACACACACAGATGAACACACGCACATACAGATACACAAATGAACATACGGACAAGAATGAACACATGAAGACCAAAATGAACACACACAACCCTCTGTGCGCGGTCTCCTTCTAGGAGCTGATGGCTGCCTTTGATGCTGAAGGAAAGAACACCAACCGTCCTCGTCTGATGCTGACTGCAGCTGTGGCTGCTGGAAAGGGAACCATTGACACTGGATACCAGATCGCCGAGATTGGATCGTCAGTACACACACACTGGGCATCATTCATATATTAGTTCTTATGAAGATTGTGTACACAAAAACATGCATGATCTATCAAATACTTATTGGCATATTGGAAACTCTCTCTCTGCCCCTCCCTTCCTCTCTCTCACTCCCTCTCAGGGTGTTGGACTACCTGCATGTGATGACCTATGACTTACATGGAGCTTGGGAACACAGCACTGGAGAAAACAGCCCTCTCTACAAAGGACCAGCTGATCAGGGAGACTACATTTACTTCAATGTGGTGAGTCTCTCTCTCTCTTTCTCTATCTCTGCCTGTCTCTTCCTCTATCTCTTCCTCTGCTTATCTATCTGTCTCTTCCTGCCTATTTAGTTTTCAGTTGAGAATGAGTAGCACATATTTAAGTGATAATGCCCTCGAAGCCGGTGTTTGAAGGATATATTGGCATGGGTGTTGCCAATAAATCCTCCAAACACCGGCTTCGAGGGCATTATCACTTTTATACAACGGGTTACCAACATATTCAAATAATGATTTACATATTTTTTATAGAAAACATTATTTTGATTAATTTATTCATACTATTTGATCCTTCCACAAGATATAGTCCCGACACAAATCTAGGGTTGCTAGAGATGCGACCCAGTCGTTCAGTGTTTTTATTCTGTATCTATGGACGTGACACAATCATTTGTTCTAAATGTTCCATTGCCATACTGGCTGGCAACGTTCTGATCCCTTGCTTGCTAGCTAGCCAACTACAGCTAATTTACAGTCACGTCAAACAGTGCAGCCAGACCAACACAAAGTATTGCATTTGCATTTGTTTAAGCTGTTTTCTAGTGACATTTATTTGGATACATCCATAACAATGAGCTAATGAGGTGTGATTTCGCCTGGCATAGAAAATGTGCTCACTCGTCAGGACACTGATGTTCAGAGGAGCTAGCCAACAACACAGCTACAGTAACACAATCACTTCAATCTGAAGCTGGAAAGACTGCAAATTAGCTGTGTGTCGTTTAACCTTTTTTCAATTGACATTTTTTTTATATATTCATAAAAATGATGCCACCTGATTCATGATTTCGACTGGCTGAGAAACGCTGCCTGCCTGTCTCGTCCCAACTCCTGACACATTCATTACTATGGGACAGCAGGAGATCGAATTTGAATATTGAAACAATGTTGTAGATGTCGGAGAGACAGACAGCAAGGTTTATATGAATCTCCGCTGTTGAAAAGGAAATGCTACTCTAAAAGAAATGACTACATGCTTTTTATAGTGGAGATCAAATGTATAAGTTGGCTGGCTGGGCTGATGAGACAGTGGATTGCGCAGTCAGATGGAACAGAGTAAATAGACATTTTAACATCATAGATTTAGCCGGTGGCAACTTGTGAAATAGACACCGGCTGGAATGCGGTTTTAACTAATTAGCATTCAGGATTAGACCCACCAGTTATATAAATCTTAATAATTTTTCTCTCTCCAGTGTTCTCACTACCACATACTGTGTGTGTTCTCAGGACTATGCTATGAAGTACTGGAAGAGCAATGGTGCCCCCGCTGAGAAGCTCCTGGTTGGATTCCCCACCTACGGCCACACCTTCCAGCTGGCCAGTGGCTCTAACACTGGAGTGGGCGCTCCCGCCACCGGCCCCGGCCCCGCCGGACCATTCACCAGGCAGTCTGGCTTCCTGGCCTACTACGAGGTAACTGACAGGATTAGGATAGGTCTGAAATTACACCCTATTAAATTCCCTACACAGTGCGCTACTTGTTTGCTCTGGTCAAAGGTAGTGTCCTATATGGGGAACAGGGTGTCAATTTGGATGCAAATCCAGTGTATGTTTTTGAGTGATTACATCTACAGCTTCCTGAATCATGCAACTCCCAACCCTAACATAAGTGTGTGTGTGTCATTAGATCTGCACCTTCCTGAAGCAGGGAGCTACCCAGGCCTGGGACTCTACCCAGATGGTGCCCTACGCCTACAACCAGCAGAACCTGTGGGTCGGATATGACAACGTCAAGAGCTTCCAGGACAAGGTCTGTGTTTGTGTGGGTGTGTGTCTGTTGGGGGAAAGATATGACTAGGGGGTAATGGAGTAGCATCCTACTCTGTTTCAATAAGCCTAATAATATATGGAATTAAGCAGAAGCTTTTATCTACATGATTTACAGTAGTGAGTGCAAGCCTTTCTTATGGGTGACCACAGCGGGAATCAAATCCACGATCCTGGCATTGCATGCGCCATTCCCTGCCAACTGAGCAACATGGAACAAATGATAACACTCTATCACCAACACAAATGTGTCCAATTTCACCCCCTTAAGTAAACCTTCCACTCCCCTACAGATCGAGTGGCTGAAGAACACTGGCTACGGAGGAGCCATGGTGTGGAGTCTGGATCTGGATGACTTCTCTGGAACCTTCTGTGGACAGGGCAGATACCCGCTGATCAACACTATCAAGTCTGGACTGGGAACTGGAGCCGGTGAGAGACACAGACACAAACGCAAGCCTGCATGCACACACAAACGTTCAACAACAACCCTCTCCAACACTCTCTCAAATAGTAGTAGAAATGTAGTTGAAAAGATCTCAACCCACTTTTTCTTCTATCTCCCCCCCCCACTCCTATGTCTTCCGTCTCTCCCAGGTTGTGCAGCCCGTAGTAACCCCATCGCCCCAGTGACTCCTACCCAGCACCCACTCAACCCCCCACAGCCCAGCGGTCAAGGTGGCAGCAGCGGGGGTGGCAGCAGTAGCGGTGGCAGTAGTAGCAATGGATCTGGCTTCTGCGCCGGGAAGGCTGACGGCATATACCCTGACCCCACCAATAACAACCACTTCTACAACTGTAGCAAGGGCGTGACCTACGACGAGCAATGTCCTGCCGGCCTGGTGTTTGACACCAGCTGCAAGTGCTGCAACTGGGCCTAAGAAACCATGCATCCCCCCGATTAATGAAGGAGCTGGGTCTAAAGGTTGTGTGGTTGTTAGGGCCACTGTTGTCATGGCCTATTTTAACATCAGCTCCATGTAACATGTCAAATCCACTCCAATAAACTTCCAACATTTGAACGCATCCTGCTGTCTCTGGAACATTAATTAATCTGCTCTGTTTGGGTTTGAGGTCAATTTCATTGCACTTTGAGCAGAATCACTGATCTACAAATAACCTTGCATCCCACATAACTAATCATTATGTGAACAAGATAAGCAATTCTGCTCTTCGCCTTTCTCAAACTGATTCCCTCAAACACCTTCTTTTTCAGTTTAGTTTTTATACAATTCATTCCACCACAGAGAATCGCAGTAAAAGATAAGTCCTTTATTGCAGTCAAACTTTACCAGGCTGACAGACACGGTATAAAGCACACAGAGCTTAGACTGACTCATCATTACCATGACATAAAGATAGTCTCACCATTTAGTCTTTTTAACTACCATTTAATCCAATAGCAAAAATACAAGATACACATTTCAAAACTGTTCTTTTTGAGGTGTTGAATAGAAAGAATAGATGGTAAATATTATTTTCGATACAGTATTTGATTATTACTTGACATGCACCATTTTTTATCATTTGTATCCAATGGCAGGTTGTGAGCATGTTGAGAAATATGTCAGTCTTACAGTTTCATTATCCTTATACAGCACATACAGCACCAGTCAAAGGTTTGGACACACCTACTCATTCCAGGGTTTTTCTTTAATATTTTTTACATTGTAGAATAGTAGCGAAGACATCAAAACTATGAAATAACACATATGGAATCATGTAGTAACCAAAAAAGTGTTAAACAAATCAAAATATATTTGAGATTTGAGATTCTTCAAATAGCCACCCTTTGCCTTGATGACAGCTTTGCACACTCTTTGCATTCTCTTTCCACTTTGTCCTATGATTTAGTATTTACAGACACTTCCATATATGATTTGGTTTTACCTTCCAACATTTTTGGGGGGTAAAAATATATAAATATACAGTGTACAGCAGTTATCAAACTATATATGTTAACTAGGCACTTTGTAATTGTGGTTCAGTAGTTATCAGTTTTGAGCAGTTTGATTAAGTGATAGTTAATTGTATTGTTAACAAATGACAAGAAAATCATATGTGTATGAATGAAATTCAGATAATGAGTGTAATATATTGTTATATATAATCCAGGTATTTCAGCTGTGCATTGTACACTTAATGAATCCTTCACAACCAACTTGCTCCGGGACAGGCTACTCTAGTATTTTTATCTACCATTTCATCCAATAGCAAAAATACAAGATACACATTTCAAAACTGTTCTTTTTGAAGTGCTGAATAGAAAAATAGATGGTAAATATTATTTTAGATACAGTATTTGACTATAACTTGACATGCACCATTTTCTATAATTTGTATCCAATGGCAGGTTGTGAGCATGTTGAGAAATATTTCCGTCTTACAGTTTCATTATCCTTATACAGCACATACAGTACCAGTCAAAGGTTTGGACACACCTACTCATTCCAGGGTTTTTCTTTATTTTTAATATTTTTTACATTGTACAATAATAGTGAAGACATTAAAACTATGAAATAACACATATGAAATATATGATTTGTTTTTACCTTCCAACATTTATTTGGGGGTAAAAATATAGAAATGTACAGTGTTCAGCAGTTATCAAACTGTATATGTTAACTAGGCACTATATCATTGTGGTTCAGTAGTTATCCGTTTTGGGCAGTTTGATTAAGTGATAGTTAATTGTATTGTTAACAAATGACAAGAAAATCATGTGTATGAATGAAATTCAGATAATGAGTGTAATATATTGTTATATAAAATCCAGGTATTTCAGCAGTGCATTGTACACTTAAGCAATAAAGTACGAGGGGGTGTGGCATTTAAGTGATAATGCCCTCGAAGCCATGTGTTTGGAGGGAAAATGAAAATATGTGTCGTATCGGGTGAATGGTGGCAATTATTGCTGTCAACAAAGAGTCCGCTTAGGCTGCACCGTGTTTTAGAGGCTTTTATTAATATCCCATGGTTACAGCATAAGTGACAGATGTCATGACATCCGGAGAGCGACGCCTCAGAATGGCCGCTCTGCCTTTCTTCTTCGTTTAGCCCCTACTTATAAACAATGCAAAAAGATGGGCTCCCTCTTCTGGCCAATCACCAGTCTCCCCTGTCTACAACACACTTCCTGTCTGTTGTATGTGGCGTTACACTAAAACATTCCCTCTTGATACTAAAATCAACATTCTTTCAGTTCCACTTAAAAACATTTAACAAAGGCATAATCCCAATACACGACATATGTAAATCTTATTTGAATATGTTGGTAACCCGTTGTATAAAAGTGATAATGCCCTCGAAGCAGGTGTTTGGAGGATATATTGGCACGGTTATACAATGGGTTACCAACATATTCAAATAATGATAGACATATTTTCATTAAAAACATTATTTTGATGAATTTATTCATACTATTTCATCCTTCCACGAGATATAGTCCCGACACAAATTTAAGGATGCTACCCAAGCCGGCTAGTTGTTCGTTCTATCAGTTCAGTTGCCAGAGACGCGACCCTGTCGTTAAGTATTTTTGTTCTGTATCCATGAACGTGACACAGTCATTCGTTCTAAATGTTCCATTTCCATACTGGCGGGCAACGTTCTGATCCCTTGCTTGCTTGCCAACTACGGCTAATTTACAGTCACGTCAGAAAGTGCAGCCAGAATAAGAGCAAAGTAGCTGCAATTGTGTTTCTTTAAGCTGTTTTCTAGTGACATTTATTTGGATACATCCATAACAGTGAGCTAATGAGGTGCGATTTCGCCTGGCATAGAACATGTGCTCTCTCAGGACACTGATGTTCAGAGGAGCTAGCCAACATCACAGCTAACACAATCACTTCAAACTGAAACTGGAAAGACTGCAAACTAGCTGCATTTTGTTTAGTTTGACCTGTTTTCTATTGACATTTCTTTGTAAATATCCATACAAATAATGCCAGCTGATTCATGATTTCGACTGGATGAGAAACGCTGCCTGTCTGTCTCATCCCGACTCCTGACACATTCATTACTATTGGACAGCAGGAGATCGAATTTCAAAATTGAAACAATGTTGCAGATGTCGAAGAGACAGACAGCAAGGTTTATATGAATCTCCACTGTTGAAAACCAAATGCTAGTCTAAAGGAAATGGGAGATAATGTCTAGATGCTTTTTATAGTGGAGATCAAGTTTATAATTTGCCTGGCTGGGCTGATGAGACAGTGGATTGCGCAGTGAGATGGAACAGAGTAAATAGGCATTTCAACATCATAGCTTTAGCCAGTGGTAACTTGTGGAATAGAAACCGGTTGGAATGTGATTTTAACCAATCCGCATCCAGTATTAGATCCACCCGTTGTATAAATGGCCAATATACCAGGCTAAGGGCTGTTCTTACGCACGATGCAACACGGAGTGCCTGTATACAACCCTTAGCCGTGGTGTATAGGCCATACAGTGGGGAGAACAAGTATTTGATACACTGCCGATTTTGCAGGTTTTCCTACTTACAAAGCATGTAGAGGTCTGTAATTTTTATCATAGGTACACTTCAACTGTGAGAGACGGAATCTAAAACAAAAATCCAGAAAATCACATTGAATGATTTTTAAGTAATTAATTTGCATTTTATTGCATGACATAAGTATTTGATACATCAGAAAAGCAGAACTTAATATTTGGTACAGAAACCTTTGTTTGCAATTACAGAGATCATACGTTTCCTGTAGGTCTTAACCAGGTTTGCACACACTGCAGCAGGGATTTTGGCCCACTCTTCCATACAGACCTTCTCCAGATCCTTCAGGTTTCGGGGCTGTCGCTGGGCAATACGGACATTCAGCTCCCTCCAAAGATTTTCTATTGGGTTCAGGTCTGGAGACTGGCTAGGCCACTCCAGGACCTTGAGATGCTTCTTACGGAGCCACTCCTTAGTTGCCCTGGCTGTGTGTTTCGGGTCGTTGTCATGCTGGAAGACCCAGCCATGACCCATCTTCAATGCTCTTACTGAGGGAAGGAGGTTGTTGGGCAAGATCTCGCGATACATGGCCCCATCCATCCTCCCCTCAATACGGTGCAGTCGTCCTGTTCCCTTTGCAGAAAAGCATCCCCAAAGAATGATGTTTCCACCTCCATGCTTCACGGTTGGGATGGTGTTCTTGGGGTTGTACTCATCCTTCTTCTTCCTCCAAACACGGCGAGTGGAGTTTAGACCAAAAAGCTCTATTTTTGTCTCATCAGACCACATGACCTCCTCCCATTCCTCCTCTGGATCATCCAGATGGTCATTGGCAAACTTCAGACGGGCCTGGACATGCGCTGGCTTGAGCAGGGGGACCTTGTGTGCGCTGCAGGATTTTAATCCATGACGGCGTAGTGTGTTACTAATGGTTTTCTTTAAAACTGTGGTCCCAGCTCTCTTCAGGTCATTGACCAGGTCCTGCCGTGTAGTTCTGGGCTGATCCCTCACCTTCCTCATGATCATTGATGCCCCACGAGGTGAGATCTTGCATGGAGCCCCAGACCGAGGGTGATTGACCGTCATCTTGAACTTCTTCCATTTTCTAATAATTGCACCAACAGTTGTTGCCTTCTCACCAAGCTGCTTGCCTATTGTGCTGTAGCCCATCCCAGCCTTGTGCAGGTCTACAATTTTATCCCTGGTGTCCTTACACAGCTCTCTGGTCTTGGCCATTGTGGAGAGGTTGGAGTCTGTTTGATTGAGTGTGTGGACAGGTGTCTTTTATACAGGTAACGAGTTCAAATAGGTGCAGTTAATACAGGTAATGAGTGGAGAACAGGAGGGCTTCTTAAAGAAAAACGAACAGGTCTGTGAGAGCCGGAATTCTTACTGGTTGGTAGGTGATCAAATACTTATGTCATGCAATAAAATGCAAATTAATTACTTAAAAATCATACAATGTGATTTTCTGGATTTTTGTTTTAGATTCCGTCTCTCACAGTTGAAGTGTACCTATGATAAAAATTACAGACCTCTACATGCTTTGTAAGTAGGAAAACCTGCAAAATCGGCAGTGTATCAAATACTTGTTCTCCCCACTGTATGCCACAATCCCCTGAGGTGCCTTATTGCTATTATAAACTGGTTACCAACGTAATTAGAATAGTAAAAATAAACGTTTTGTCATACCCGTGGCATACGGTCTAATATAACATGGCTTTCAGCACAATCAGCATTCAGGGCTTGAACTACCCAGTTTATAGCACACTATAATTCCAAATGGTAGCACATGAGTGACTCTTGCTACTTTGTCCAATTGAAGCACACTGGCAGATGGAGAATGATGATGTAGTGCAGCCACATCCATGTATGATTTGGTTCCCTTGAGCAAGGCACTTAACCCTAATTGCTTCTGTAAGTCGCTCTGGATAAGAGCGTCTGCTAAATGACTAAAATGTAAATGTAAAATGTAAACATACATTTATGTCAATTTGATACATTTATGATGTATAAAATATAGAAATGTACAGTGTTCATGCCCAGACGCAACCCCCATACATTAGCCCTTGATCAACACTATAGTCTCGTTCACCCAACCAACACCTTTCACAACATGTCGCACACAGACACACGGACCCCCTCCTAACTAACCCATCACATCCACACTACAATAATCAGAACAGTGGGGTGAGATGTTTACGTACAACATGTGGTAAAAAAATGTATAACATGAGGGTGTGATATTCACATCCTGATGTGAAGTCACATGGGTGAGATATTTGCAACCTAGTGTGAATCCCTTCTTTCTTTTCTCTCCAAATCTCTTGAGCGTGCCGTCTTTAGCCAACTCTCTTGCTATCTCTCTCAGAATTACCTTCTTGTTCCAAACCAGTCAGGTTTCAAGACTGGTCTTTCAACTGAGACTGCTCTTCTCTGTGTCACGGAGGCTCTCCGCACTGCTAAATCTAACTCTCTCTCCTCTGCTCTCATCCTTCTAGACCTATCTGCTGCCTTTGATACTGTGAACCATCAGATCCTCCTCTCCACCCTCTCCGAGTTGGGCATCTCCGGCGCGGCTCACTCTTGGATTGTGTCCTACCTCATAGGTCGCTCCTACCAGGTGGCGTGGCGAGAATCTGTCTCCGCACCACGTGCTCTCACCACTGGTGTCCCCCAGGGCTCAGTTCTAGGCCCTCTCCTATTCTCTCTATACACCAAGTCACTTGGCTCTGTCATATCCTCACATGGTCTCTCCTATCATTGCTACGCAGACGACACACAATTAATCTTCTCCTTTCCCCCTTCTGATAACCAGGTGGCGAATCGCATCTCTGCATGTCTGGCAGACATGTGTGGATGACGGATCACCACCTCAAGCTGAACCTTGGCAAGACGGAGCTGCTCTTCCTCCCGGGGAAGGACTGCCCGCTCCATGATCTCGCCATCAGGGTTGAAAACTCTGTTGTGTCCTCCTCCCAGAGTGCAAAGAACCTTGGCGTGACCCTGGACAACACCCTGTCGTTCTCCGCTAACATCAAAGCGGTGACTGCAGAAGCACAGTTCCCGCTCAGCCCAGTCAAAACTGTTCGCTGCTCTGGCACCCCAATGGTGGAACAAGCTCCCTCACGACGCCAGGACAGCGGAGTCACTCACCACCTTCCGGAGACACTTGAAACCCCACCTCTTTAAGGAATACCTGGGATAGGATAAAAGTAATCCTTCTATCCAGGGAATGTGCACCGCTACATACGAGCAGATAAGGGGCCAGGTTTAGGAGAGAGAGAGACCGCGTCCCTCCCTGCCTGTTGATGTACACCACCACTGTCCTGTTGTCGGACCTTACCAACACATGCTTGCCCTCCAACATCGGAAGGAAACGTCTCAGTGCTAGCAAAACAATCAGTAGCTCTAGGTAATTCATATGCAGTGCCCTTTGCGCTGTTGACCAAATCCCTCTTTCCAAGTAGCCCACACACAGCGCTCCCCATCCCAGTAAGGATGTGTCTGTCATGGTCACCCTGCGGTACACTACCCGGCCCATGAGAACCCCCTGCAACAACAGTCACGTGGATAGCGGGTGAAGTGTAAGCATTTTGAACTTGCAATCTTGAGGCGCTTGTTTAAAACACGCAAGTCCAGGATGTTATGCAACGTTACATCACTCTTGAGAACTAAGAAGTACCAGCTGTACCAACCGCTCTGTACTTCTGACACGGGGACCAACCGAATAGGCTACTTTTGAAGGAGAGAGGAAATCTCCTCTCTCAAGACAGGCGCTGGGACCTTGGGGACCAATGATGTTATCATACCACGAAAAGGAGGAGGACGCACAGCGAACTACAGACCCTACCCCCTCGTCTTCATCACCCACAGTGAAACTGTGCATGCCCGCCACTGGACAGAGCACGCTGCCAGTCTCCCATATTAATTAATTTCAATTAATATGCCATTTAGCAGACGCTTTTATCCAAAGCGACTTACAGTCATGCGTGCATACATTTTTTTTTGTGTATGGGTGGTCCCGGGGATCGAACCCACTACCTTAGCGTTACAAGCGCCGTGCTCTACCAGCTGAGCTACAGAGGACCACATATATTATCTCCTGAAGGGGCAGAAGGCCATCCTGACTACTGGGATAATATATATTTTTTGTCATGCTTGTTTTCATATCCACCACTCTTGACAACTGTGTGTCCAAACGTGGGGAAGGAACTGTGCGTTCTGTTACCCGGTGAACACCGGGTTTGGGGACCTCGACAACCAGTAACTTGCCCCCATTGACCGAGCCATTTGGAAGCACTGTTGCCACAGTAAATGCTTGGGGATGAGGGCTAGCTAGCTATGTTTCAAAACGATAGGTGGTCATTGGACCAAGATACAATCAATCAAGTGAACACCGCCCGTCTCATCGGCTTGTAATTATGTTGTGTCTTCATGGCTAAAAATGTTTCTGTATCGGATATACCTAAGGCAGAATGATCAAAGAAAGGCTGGTTACCTTCTGGAGTGTCTGAGGAATAAATAGGAATCTAACTTGACTGGCTGAAACAAGGTTTGGCTTTCAATTTTCACAGATTTCTTTCTTTGCAAGTTGAACGAGTGGGAATACAACATCGATCATGCATACAACATGGATCGTGTTAGGATATAAAAGTAGGTTTTATCAAACAGAACTACGCTATATTTTATCTCTGGGACCCTCAGGATGACAAATCAGAGCAAGATTACTGAATGTAAGTACATTATTTATCTTCAGATGTGAATGAATCAAACCTGTCGCCGTGATAAGTGTTTTGTTGTTGTGCACTATCCTCAAACAATAGCATGGTATTTTTTCGCTATAATAGCTACTGTCGATTGGACACTGCAGTTAGATTAACGATAATTTAAGCTTTCTGCCCATATAAGACACGTATATGTCCCGGAAAAGTGGCTGTTGTTTACAACATAGTTGTAGTCACATTATACATATTGAGTAACAACTGTCCCATTCACGGGACACCCATCCAGAGGTTAACAGACACCTAAGTCAGAGCCGAACCTTGTAGCCTTTGTGTGCTTGAAAAGTTTGTAAATTGCGTGACAAGTTCTTCCTTCAAGCGAGCTGAAAAGCGAATAATTTAGGAAATGGATGCGAGCCCTGGTATTATAACCAGGAAGTTGTGGCTTCCGAGGGCGGGCTCGGCATCCATTGGCCTGTTGGGCGTGATTTCAGTTTGCTTCAATTGAATAGGATTGGTCGTTGACTCCCCATAGTATGTGATACCGTGTGACTGACTGAAAGGGAGCACAGTAAACATCATGTAGACAACAGTAAATAGAAAACTACTTCAACTTCATGTAAAATCTGTGGTTTTATGAATTAAAACATTAAAAACAACAGGCAAGACCACAGTGCAAAGTGAAACTAAGAATTCCTAATTAAATAATTAATAAGTAAATCACAAGAATTCATAATGATCACACACACGTATGAAATACACACATACACTCCCCTACATATTTATTTGGACAGTGAATTTAAAACTTTTAATTTGGCTATATACTCAAATGTTTTACATGTGGCGACAGTACAGAATGTCTCCTTTTATTTGAGCGTATTCTCATACATATCCGTTTTACCGTTTAGAAAAAAAAAGCACTTTATGTATCTAGTCTGCCCATTTGAAGGTGTCAAGTATTTGGAGAAATTCACTTATATGTGTATTAAAGTAGTCAAAACTTTCTTACTCATCATTATTCACTATTAATCATGGTAGCAGCCACATTAATTTAGAAGTGTTCAGAAACATATTCTATTCTTATTTACAATAAAAGTTACTCCAGAATGACACAATACATTATTTACCATTAATTTCTATTGGGCACAACATTCTGAAACAACCAAAACAAACTGCAAATGCATCCAACAAGGTTGTAGAGGGCGGCAAGTAGCCTAGAGGTTACATCATTTAGAGCATTGGTTGCTATTTCAAATCCCGGAGCCGACAAGGTAAAAAATCTGTTGATCTGCCCTTGAGCAATGCACTTAACACTAATTGCGCCAGGGTCACCGTCAATAATGGCTGATCCCTGGCTGTGACCCGACTCTCAGGGGGAGTTGGGATATGCAAAAAAAACATTTCCATTTCACACTTGTACATGCAGGACAAATATAAGTACCCCCTATTTGACCTTTTGAGTATCACAAGCTTGATGTAGTCATTGCGTGCTAGGAATATGTGACCAAATATTAAACTCAATACAAGTTAATTTGTCCAAATATTTATGACACCTTCAAATGGGGGAACTCAATACATAAAGTGTATTCAGAAATAAATGGTAAAACAGATATGTATGAAAATACCCTCAAATAAAAGGTGACATTCTGTGACGAAGGTCAAATATAAAACATAGAGCAAAATTAAACATTTTAGCTTTACTGTCAAAATAAATACATAGGGGAGTGTACGTATAAAACGTTTATAAAATCTTATTAAAAGTGGAGATACCACATTTACATTTTAGTCATTTAGCAGACGCTCTTATCCAGAGCGACTTACATGAGCAATTAGGGTTATGTGACTTGCTCAAGGGCACAATGACAGATTTGTCACCTAGTGTGCACACGTGCGCACGCACGCAGACACGTGCGCACGCACACAGTTGGTGGCACCTTAATTGGGGAGGACGGGCTCGTGGTAATGACTGGAGTGGAAGTAGTGGAATGGTATCAAATACATCAAACACATTCACTCCATTTCAGCAAGTATTATGAGCCATCCTCCCCAGTAGCTTCCACTGACACACACACACACACATACAGTGGGGAAAAAAAGTATTTAGTCAGCCACCAATTGTGCAAGTTCTCCCACTTAAAAAAATGAGAGGCCTGTAATTTTCATCATAGGTACACGTCAACTATGACAGACAAATTGAGAATATTTTTTCCAGAAAATCACATTGTAAGATTTTTAATTAATTTATTTGCAAATTATGGTGGAAAATAAGTATTTGGTCACCTACAAACAAGCAAGATTTCTGGCTCTCACAGACCTGTAACTTCTTCTTTAAGAGGCTCCTCTGTCCTCCACTCGTTACCTGTATTAATGGCACCTGTTTGAACTTGTTATCAGTATAAAAGACACCTGTCCACAACCTCAAACAGTCACACTCCAAACTCCACTATGGCCAAGACCAAAGAGCTGTCAAAGGACACCAGAAACAAAATTGTAGACCTGCACCAGGCTGGGAAGACTGAATCTGCAATAGGTAAGCAGCTTGGTTTGAAGACATCAACTGTGGGAGCAATTATTAGGAAATGGAAGACATACAAGACCACTGATAATCTCCCTCGATCTGGGGCTCCATGCAAGATCTCACCCCGTGGGGTCAAAATGATCACAAGAACGGTGAGCAAAAATCCCAGAACCACACGGGGGGACCTAGTGAATGACCTGCAGAGAGCTGGGACCAAAGTAACAAAGCCTACCATCAGTAACACACTACGCCGCCAGGGACTCAAATCCTGCAGTGCAAGACGTGTCCCCCTGCTTAAGCCAGTACATGTCCAGGCCCGTCTGAAGTTTGCTAGAGTGCATTTGGATGATCCAGAAGAGGATTGGGAGAATGTCATATGGTCAGATGAAACCAAAATAGAACTTTTTGGTAAAAACTCAACTCGTCGTGTTTGGAGGACAAAGAATGCTGAGTTGCATCCAAAGAACACCATACCTACTGTGAAGCATGGGGGTGGAAACATTATGCTTTGGGGCTGTTTTTCTGCAAAGGGACCAGGACGACTGATCCGTGTAAAGGAAAGAATGAATGGGGCCATGTATCATGAGATTTTGAGTGAAAACCTCCTTCCATCAGCAAGGGCATTGAAGATGAAACGTGGCTGGGTCTTTCAGCATGACAATGATCCCAAACACACCGCCCGGGCAACGAAGGAGTGGCTTTGTAAGAAGCATTTCAAGGTCCTGGAGTGGCCTAGCCAGTCTCCAGATCTCAACCCCATAGAAAATATTTGGAGGGAGTTGAAAGTCCGTGTTGCCCAGCGACAGCCCCAAAACATCACTGCTCTAGAGGAGATCTGCATGGAGGAATGGGCCAAAATACCAGCAACAGTGTGTGAAAACCTTGTGAAGACTTACAGAAAACGTTTGACCTGTGTCATTGCCAACAAAGGGTATATAACAAAGTATTGAGAAACTTTTGTTATTGACCAAATACTTATTTTCCACCATAATTTGCAAATAAATTCATTAAAAATCCTACAATGTGATATTCTGGAAAAAAAAATCTCATTTTGTCTGTCATAGTTGACGTGTACCTATGATGAAAATTACAGGCCTCTCTCATCTTTTTAAGTGGGAGAACTTGCACAATTGGTGGCTGACTAAATACTTTTTTCCCCCACTGTACACACACACCAGGGGGTTAGAGGCGTGTGAGGTTGTTGGGGATGATGTAAACATTGTTGTCTGGCAGGTGGACAGAGTTCTTCCTGTAGTACCATCGTCCATCTGCATAACCCTCTCCCCAGTGGACCTCCAGGTACGGACCCCAACTCTCCACAGGAGAACACACAGCACACAGACGCTGCAGACAGAGACACATTCATGTAACTTTAATGGATTCACATACACTGCAGACACTTGGAGACACACAGACAGATACTTCAGACGCTAGATCCTAAAAAAGGATTCTGACAATTGCAGGAGAAGTTCCAAACACTCTCAGAAGTCCAAAGGAGCCACATCTCTGTCACCCACAAACACACACCCACCTGCCAAGGGTTTCCTTGGGAGGTGAGTATTTTCCAGATAGCGAGGAGGGGGATCCAGATGAGACAGAAGGCGATCATACACCATCCTAGAGCCACCCCCCACGCAGGGTACTGCACCGTACCGTAGGACGGGGGACGGAACGTCAACAACGACCACACCAGGATCACCTACACATCAACAACAACAACATACACACACACACACACACACACACACAGGCGTTAGAGAGTGTGCTTACGTCTGTTAGAGAAACAAAGGGGTTAGAGAAATGAGGACCATTGAACAGAGAGCCAGGTAGGATAGAATCTAAGTTCTAAAGAGGAAGACAGAGACAGAGAGGCAGAGAGAGAGAGAACTCACAATGATGATGGCGGGAGAGATGAAGAACCAACATGCTCTCCACCACAGCCAGAAGAGAAAGCTCCTCGTCCCAATCATCATCTCTATGTCCTTAATGAAACGGTTTCCTCCTACACACATACACGTAATACATGTCATAGAATAGGTAACTGCCAACTAAAAAGGAAACACCAACATAAGGGGCGGCAGGTAGCCTAGTGGTTAAGAGCGTTGTGCCAGTAACCGAAAGGTGGCTGGTTCTAATCCCTGAGCCGACTAGGTGAAAAAGCTGTCGATGTGCCCTTGAGCAAGGCACTTAACCCTAATTGCTCCTGTAAGTCGCTCTGGATAAGAGCGTCTGCTAAATGACTAAAATGTAAATAAGGTGTCTTAAATCCAATGTTATTTGTCATGTAATTTGTAGACTAACAGGGGAAATACTAACAGGTTATTTTCCAACAACGCAGAGTTAAAGATAAACATAAAACCATTAAAATAGTGACAAGAAGAATAAATACACAGTGAATAGCAATAACATGGCTATATACAGGGAGAACCAGTACCAAGTCGATGTGCAATGGTACGAGGTAATTGAGGTAGCTATGTTTATATAGTAGGGGTAAAGTGACTATGCAACAGGATAGATAATAGAAAGTAGCAGTGTGTGTGAAAGTGTATGCCCCACCAACATTCGAAAACTATACAGAAAGCCCTTAAATTATTGAAATAATTAAATTTAGTCGATGATGATAGAATAGTCAAATTAACTGATAACTGACACAGACATGGTGGCATAGCAGGAAGATCTGAGTTCAAGTCCCAGGTGAGGACATGTTGAATAAGTGTACATGCACAATGTAATCATGTGTGTTAAATATGTAAATTTAAAATCAATGTGTGTGATTGTCCCTAAACTTGCCAACAGACAAAAAGAGCTGTGAACGGATCAGTGGTTCACCAATCAGGGCCTTGATGGGCTTGGCAACAGTAACAAGGCGTGATGCGTAGTGAAACATTTTGGAGAACGTTTCCTTGGGACCATCAGGCGACGTCCGGACAACTGATACACAGAAAAGTTTTTCCAACATTCCCATGAAACGCATCTAGAACACTAATATTGTATAATCTGAAAACATGGCAACCATGTTCTGTGTATGTTTGGTGGGACATTTATGGAATATTCTCCTAACCCTCAGAAAACTGGACACATGAATGTTCTTGCAACTTCCCATAAAACGTGTCTAGAACATGAATGTTGTATATTCTGAGAACATTATAACCACATTCTAGATCATTTCTGTTTGGCATTAAGGGAATATTCTCCTAACTTTAACACCTAAACATGCTAAAAAGGTCCTCAGAAGGTTTGTGCTAACGTAGATAGAATGTTCCCCTAACAAAGGAAAAACTGGACACTCAAACATTAGGGGAACATTGTGTGTAGCATATATATATATATATATATATATATATATTGACCTCTTCCTAGAATTGTTAGCTGGGAATGCAGGTAGTCTGGTAGCCATTTGATAAGCTATTTAGCAGTCTTGTTTAGCAGTCTTATGGCTTGCGGGTAGAAGCTGTTCAGGGTCCTATTGGTTCGAGAATTGGTGGGTCCAGGGCGTCTAGGATGATTGTGTTGATGTGAGCCATGACCAGCCTTTCAAAGCATTTCATGGCTATAGATGTGACTGCTACGGGGTGATAGTCATTTAGGCACGTTACCTTGGCGTTCTTGGGCACAGGGACTTTGGTGGTCTACTTGAAACAAGTTGGTGTAACAGTGAAGACACTTATAATAATATTTTATCCAAAGCGACTTACAGTCATGCGTGCATACATTTTTGTGGATGGGTGGTCCCGGGGATCGAACCCACTACCTTGGCGTTACAAGCGCCGTGCTCTACCAGCTGAGCTACAGAGGACCACTTGCAAGCTGGTCAGCGTATGCTCTGAGTACGTGTCCTTGTTTACCGTCTGGCTCTGCAGCCTTGCAAATGTTACCCTATTAAAGGTTTTACTCACATCAGCAACGGAGAGTGAGATCACACAGTCGTCCAGAACAGCTGGTGCTCTCATGCATGGTTCAGTGTTGCTTGCATAGAAGGCATTTAGCTCTTCCTGTGGGCTTGTGTCGCTGGGCTGCTCGGCGTTGGGCCACCACGAGCCAGAACAGCTTCAATGCACCTTGGCATAGATTCTACAAGTGTCTGGAACTCTGTTGGAGGGATGTGACACCAATCTTCCACGATAAATCCCATAATTTGATGTTTTGTTGATGGTGGTGGAAAACGCTGTCTCAGGCGCTTCTCCAGAATCTCCCATAAGTGTTCAATAGGGTTGAGATCTGGTGACTGAGACGGCCATGGCATATGGTTTAAATATTTCATGCTCATCAAATCATTCAGTGACCACTTGTGCTCTGCGGATGGGGGCATTGTCATCCTATAGGGACATAGCCATGGTAGCAAAAATAATGGCCAAAATAATGGCCTGCCCAGCATTGTTATACATGACCCTAAGCATGATGGGATGTTAATTGCTTAATTAGCTCAGGAACCACACCTGTGTGGAAGCACCTGCTTTCAATATAATTTGTATCCCTTATTTACTGAAGTGTTTCTATTATTTTGTAGTTACCTGTACAGATGTAGGATCTTAATTTGATCACTCTTTTGTTGCTGAGAATTTTCCTGCACAGCAGGAAATGCAAACTTGTAGTGTATTCGAGGTTTAAAAAGGCTTCTAATTCCCACTTTAAAATGTCAGACTTGATTTTCCCTAACAAAAAAATTATTAATACCTACATAAGACTTCCCATTCATTACAATCCACATAATAATTCACTTTTCCTGTTGCTGCAGGATTATTTTCCTGCTTTAGCAAACTGGCTCAAATTAAGATCCTACATCTGTATGTAGCATATTTCAATTTACCGTAGATGTAGAAGACTCCAATGAGCTCCAGCAGAGCAGCGATCAGTAGAACAAAGCCAGCACAGAACTGATCCATCAGAGTCACCCAGTATATCCCTGCCTGGAGAGACACACACACAGTTATCACACACACAAATACACACACATAAAGCATGAATTAATTTGCACAAAATGGTCAACAGCGAAGGAAATTGTGGTATCTAAGGACTTCCTTCTGTCACGGTAACTAAGGACCTACCTGGGTTACGCACGGCAGGCCAAGCAGGAAGAGGATGGCACAGGTAGCCACAAGGATGATGGAGTTTTTTGATTTGAAGGTTTCAGGGAAGGCGTCCTGTAGGCAGGTGGAGATGACCTCTGAGGGAACAGAGGTCAAGAGTCAGAGGTCAGGGGTCATTGTCTAGTTCTAGTTAGTAGTGTGTGTATGTGTGTCTGTGACTGACCTATGCCAGCGAACTGCGAGTCGAGTCCGAGTGTGAGCAGCATGAAGAAGAAGAGGATGGACCAGAGAGGAGAGATGGGAAGCTTGGACAGGGCATCAGGGTATGCAATAAATGCTAGGCCAAAACCTACACACACACACTGTTAGTTTGTTAGGTGGTTATCGTGTCAGGTAAAGCTGAATACAGTACAGTGGTGTACTACTGACCTGCCTGGGCAACCTCTGATACAGGCTTTCCGTAGACATGAGCCATGTGACCTAGGATGGAGAAGATGGCGAAGCCTGCAAACACACTGGTACCTATACAGTGACATTAAGAAGGATCAAACACACTGGTACTGGAACACAATGAAAGAACTGGAACAGTGTTCTTCAATGTATATTTCCTAGTTTCTATGATGCAATTAGCTTCGGTCTGGTGTGTGTGTGTTTTGTGTGTGTGTTTTGTGAGTGTCCCGTACCACAGTTGGTGAGGCAGACGATCAGCGCATCCTTGAACACATTGTTGTGGAACTTGTTATAAGAGGACAAGGCTGTGACTCCACCCCACGCTATCGACAGCGAATAGAAAATCTGTGTCGCTGCATCCCTCCACACCTGCCACAGACACAGGCACAAGCACAGAAGGCACAGTCAGCCTCAGTAACTTTCAACAGCAATCAATTATGCATTTTGAGTGAACCATCTCTTTGCTACAAGGTATCAGAGTTTGACTTTGAAATTTGATGTTTGTTCACGTTTTTCCAAACGTCTAAGGGTGAAGTCAAGGTAAACAACGGTTTTTGATATTTAAGTTGAGACACTGTTACATAACTCCACAAAAGTGAAACCGAAAACACTTGTGTTTCGTGTCTCGTTAAGGGATAAGGTTTGGGCATAGGGTTAAAATAGGGTTAAGTTTAGGAATTAATTCAGAGTGGTTAAGGGTTAAAGTTTGGGAAAGGCTTAAAACAAAACATTGAATTGTCTAACACTGGGATTGGACATTCAACCTTTGGCACTGGAGCATGGCTTATACGCACATCCATGTCCACAACAACCTAGCAAGCTGCCAGCCTACTTGAATGTAATAGTGCTCACCGTTGCCCCTAGTGGACTGTTTTGAAGACAATCCCAGACGTTCTTGGGACCTGGATGGACGTCTAACTTCGACTTCAAACTGGAGCGATCGCCCTGCTCTTTGTGCAACATAACTAACTGGTAAACTAATACTGCCTCTCCATCTGATCAGTGGCAGATATGGTGAGAGGAACCCTGACCTAGTGGGGTTAAAGGGTAGTGGTTTGATCCTGAGAAGAGATGAGGTGAAAGGTCAAAGGTGAAAGGTGAGAGGTTAGTCCCTGACCTCTGCCTCTCCCAGTTTGGTGAGGTTGGACTGGGAGCCGATATAGAACTCGATACCGTCTCTGGCACCTTCTAGTGTCACTCCACGGATCAGCAGAAGCAGCAAGACCACATAGGGAAATGTAGCGGTGAAATACACAACCTGGTGACAGACACACAAACAATTATTAGACACACAACATACACAAACACATCAGAAAGACAGGACCAACTCACACACACAAAATGGATCTGGGTCATACTGACCTTTCCTGAGGACTTGATGCCTTTGTATAGGGCAGCGGCGATAAGCAGCCATCCCAGCAGCAGGCAGAGAGCCAGATGCCAGACCACCGGACCAGTCTCATCCAGACTACTAGACCTTTGTAAGGCCACCAGGCTGGGGAGGGACACACAGACAGATAGACCATCTTACCGACTGGATATATTGTAAAAATTCATGAAAACTAAAATGTGCTTTTTGGTCTTGATTTAACCCTCCCGTTGTCCTAGGGTCAAAATGACCCGCCACTGTGTTGAACCAACTTTATTTAATTTTTATATTTTTTGGATCATTTGTGAGAAGGAGGCAGTGATACTTTCTTTAAAGTAGGGTTAAGGTTAAGGTTAGGCCTTAGGGTTAGCAGTGTGGTTAAGGTTAGGGTTAAGGTATAAAATCTAATTTTATGACTTTGTGGCTGTGCCAGCTATTGACCACTCTGTAGAGCTGCCTCCAGAACAATATTAATGGTGAAAAACGCTAACCTGTCTTACAGACAGGCTCAGTTTACACACCTCATTACAGACAACCTGGCATTCAACACAACCTGCGCTACCACTGAAGTATTTTCGACTGCGAGCAAAAATGAAATAGAATTGTGGTGTGTGGGTGTGTTACTCACTCCCAGTACTGTTCGCTGGGACTCTGTACTGGAATGCTGACTATGTTTCCCTCTGGGCAGGTCCCATTCTCCCACACCGTCATGTTGGCTGTAAGTACTGGCACACTCCAGTTGGAAGCTGTTGTAACGTTGCACACTTCTGTAAAGGTCAGAAGTCATTAGTCAAAGTGGCAGAGTTACTGGGCACTCTTTTCTGGTTCACCTGGGTCATGTTCATTAAAGCACACAATGGAACATGTTTCTATATGTTTAGCAACGTAAAATTAAAAATATTGGACAAGGTCCAGGTTTTCTTCTGTTTGGAGCCTAATTAACACAACAGAAGAGTAAAAGCTGCACAACATGGAAACTTCCCTACATCTTTAGATGTGATGCTACATTATAAAACAGGTACCTCTAGGAGTGAGGCTACAGTTGCTGTTGGACCAGTAGAAACAGTCGCTCCATGGCAGAGGGGACTGGAAGGATGCAAACATGTAGTAGAGACTGTAGGCAATGATGACGTTATAGTAGATGCCTACTAACGTACTGACCAAAACCATGGCTACACCCACACCTGGAGAGGAGAGGGAGAAGAGGTAGAGGGGAAAGGTTTACACGGAACTACCATTTGTTTTTTATCAAGGAGGATTCTTCAATATTTGAATCTGAATTTCACTTCACTTCACTTCCTGCAGAGATTGAATTGAGGTGAATTGTCCCTATCCATGATAGCAAAGTCACTTCATTGACAAGACATGCAGGTCTGTCACGCCCTGACTCTGGGGACTCTCATTTGTTGAGTCAGGGTGTGATTTTCTATGTTGTCTAGATCTATGTTAGCCAGTGTGGTTCCCAATCAGAGGCAGCTGTCGCTCGTTGTCTCTGATTGGGGACAATACTTAGGCAGCCTATTGGCACTAGTGGGTTGTGGGATCTTGTTCCGGTTAAGGTATGTTGTGTTGTGCTGCCTTGGACTTCACGTTTCGTCGGTTTGTTGTTTTGTCGGTTGTTTATTCATTTAAATAAACATGTACGTATATCATGCTGCGCCTTGGTCCGTCCCGTCTGTAAACGAACGTGACAGGGTCTCTGAAGTTTCATATTTATCACATACTGATTCAGCCAAACAGCTAGAACCAGAGATTCCTGGTGTACTGGTCAACCTGTCATGTTGTAGTTCCTTTTCTTAAGATTTATCTAAACAAGGAAGTTCCACTGAGGTAAACATTCTCTATTCCAAGGAAGACCTGACAGAGTATATGATAAGAAGTATGATAAGTGTGTCATTGATCCACCACAGTACACGCTAGAATAACTGCAGTGGCAATGAAAATAAATAATAGGTGAGTCACAAACAAGTATGACTGTGCCGCTGTGGGTGAAAATCCAGCAATTGAACAAAGAAGAAATTAGGAATATATGTATAATTATTTAACTACAGGTACTGTAGATGTGAGTGAAATATCTATAAGTAGCAGTAGATGTCACACCCTGGCTCTGGGACTCTATTTGTTGAGCCAGGGTGTGTTTATTCTATGTGTTATATTTCTATGTTGGGGGTTCTAGTTTGTCTATTTCTATGTTGGCCTGAGTGACTCCCAATCAGAGGCAACGAGTGTCAGCTGTTGGCTGGTTGTCTCTGATTGGGAGCCATATTTAAACTGTCTGTTTCCCCTTTGTGTTTGTGGGTTCTTGTTCGGTGTTGGTCATTGTTACCGTGGACTTCACGAGTCGTTTCTTGTTTTGTTTATTGTTGTATATTATCACTAAAGATAATAAAGTTAACCATGTTCGTTCAACACGCTGCGCATTGGTCTCTCCCTGACGATCGTGACAGAAGAACCCACCAAGTAAGGACCAAGCAGCGTGTCCAGGAGCAGAACTTGGACTGGACATGGGAGGAAGCGCCGGGAAAGGCCCTGGCGAAAGAGGAGCAGCGGCGTCAGCAGTGTCAACGTCGGACAGGCGAGAGGCAACCCCAGAAAATTTTTAGGGGGGGGCACACGGCATGGACGACGGGGCTGACGGAGGCAGAAAAGGGGCGGATTCAGAAGGCCACCAGGTTACGGGGGCCACTGGTCAAAGCAGGGAGGGAAGGTGTAGAGGCACGGCGAGAGGTACTGGGGTGTGTTACCAGTCCGGTCCGGCCCATTCCAGATCCCGAGGTAGAGCCAGTGGTGTGTGTCCCCAGTACGGTCCGGCCTGTTCCGGCCCCTCGCACCAAGTGTACGGTGCACGTCGCCAGCCTGGTCCGGCCTGTCCCTGCTCCTCGCACCAAGCCTACGGTATGCGTCGCCAGCCCGGTCCGGCCTGTCCCTGCTCCACGCACCAAGCCTACGGGGTGCGTCGTCAGCCCAGTCCGGCCTGTTCCTGCTCCACGCACCAAGCCTACGGTGTGCGTCGCCAGCCCAGTCCGGCCTGTTCCTGCTCCACGCACCAAGCCTACGGGGTGCGTCGTCAGCCCAGTCCGGCCTGTTCCTGCTCCACGCACCAAGCCTACGGTGTGCGTCGCCAGCCCAGTCCGGCCTGTCCCTGCTCCACGCACCAAGTCTACGGTGCGCGTCGCCAGCCCGGCCCGGCCTGTTCCTGCCACTCGCACCAAGTCTACGGTGCGCGTCGCCAGCCCGGCCCGGCCTGTTCCTGCCACTCGCACCAAGTATACGGTGCGCGTCGCCAGCCCGGCCCGGCCTGTTCCTGCCACTCGCACCAAGCCTACGGTGTGCGTCGCCAGCCCGGCCCGGCCTGTTCCTGCCCCTCGCACCAAGCCTACGGTGTGCGTCGCCAGCCCGGCCCGGCCTGTTCCTGCCCCTCGCACCAAGCCTACGGTGTGCGTCGCCGGCCCGGCCTGTTCCTGCCACTCGCACCAAGTCTATGGTGTGCGTCGCCAGCCCGGCCCGGCCTGTTCCTGCCACTCGCACCAAGCCTACGGTGCGCGTCGCCAGCCCGGCCCGGCCTGTTCCTGCCACTCGCACCAAGCCAGGGGTGCGAGTCGTCAGCCTGGTCCAGCCTGTTCCTGCTACTCGCACCAAGCCAGGGGTGTGAGTCGTCAGTCCGGTGAGGCCCGTTCCTGCTACTCGCACCAAGCCAGGGGTGCGAGTCGTCAGTCCGGTGAGGCCCGTTCCGGCTCCACGCACCAAGCCAGGGGTGCGAATCGTCAGTCCGGTGAGGCCCGTTCCGGCTCCACGCACCAAGCCAGGGGTGCGAGTCATCAGTCCGGTGAGGCCCGTTCCGGCTCCACGCACCAAGCTAGGGGTGCGCATCGTCAGCCCGGTCCGGCCCGTTGCTGCTCCACGCACCAAGCCAGGGGTGCGCATCGTCAGCCCGGTCCGGTCAGTTCCTGCCTCACGCACCAAGCCAGGGGTGCGCATCGTCAGTCCGGCACAACCCGTGCCTGGGTCATCGGTGCCAAATCAGGTACCGCTCAACTGCTCCACAACGGAGCTGAAGCTAGCCGCTCCTGCTACGTCCAGGTCAGCTCCAGCCAGCGGGGCCAGACCGGACCAGGGGCGCTATGGGGGGTTTATTGGAGGGTGGTGGGCAAGGCCGGAGCCAGAACCGCCGCCGAGGAGGTATGCCCACCCAGCCCTCCCCTGTTTTGCTCTTATTGAGGCGCGGTCGCAGTCCGCGCCTTTGGGGGGGGTACTGTCACACCCTGGCTCTGGGACTCTATTTGTTGAGCCAGGGTGTGTTTATTCTATGTGTTATATTTCTATGTTGGGGGTTCTAGTTTGTCTATTTCTATGTTGGCCTGAGTGACTCCCAATCAGAGGCAACGAGTGTCAGCTGTTGGCTGGTTGTCTCTGATTGGGAGCCATATTTAAACTGTCTGTTTTCCCTTTGTGTTTGTGGGTTCTTGTTCGGTGTTGGTCATTGTTACCATGGACTTCACGAGTCGTTTCTTGTTTTGTTTATTGTTGTATATTATCACTAAAGATAATAAAGTTAACCATGTTCGTTCAACACGCTGCGCATTGGTCTCTCCCTGACGATCGTGACAGTAGAAGTATTGTTGTCTGTTAGTTTACTCCAATTAGGGTAGGGATGGTAGGGAAAGAAGTGTAGAAAATAAATAAAATAAGGGGATTAGAAATGATGCAAACAATTCAGTTGAAACAAATCCCCCCCCAAACAAAAAGTATGACTAAGAAACTGCTTACATGTACACCCTAGACCAGTGTTTTTTTTTGTTGACCTGGTTCTGGGGACCCAAAGGGGTGTACGTTTTTGTTTGCACATTTTTGTTGTCCTTGGGCAGAAAGTGGATGTTTCTGTTTTTCAGGGCTACTGTCACACCCTGATCTGTTTCAACTGTTTTGTGATTGTCTCCAACCCCCACCAGGTGTCTCCCATTACCTCATGTGTATTTATACCTGCGTATTCTGTTTGTCTGTTGCCAGTTTGGCTTGTCCCGTCAAGTCCTACCAGCGTGTTCCTGTGTGCTAGTTTTTGCTTTTTCTAATCTTCCCAGTTCTGACCTTTCTGCCTGTCCTGACCCTGATCCTGCCTGCCTGCCGTCCTGTACCTGCCTGACTCTGATTTGGATTACAACTCTTTGCCTAGCTTGAGCTACCGATTGCCTGCCCCTTGTGCTGTAATACACTCTGAGACTCGTACTATCCGCCTCCTGTGTCTGCATCTGGGTCTTAACCTGAGCAGGGATACCTACAGTATTTTCAACCTAACTTCCATTTCCCCTGAAAAATGGTTGGGACTCGGCTTAGGTGTCTTTCTACGCCTGCTACGTTAGGTTAGGGGTCCCCAGGACCAGGATTGGGAAACACTACAGTAGACAGTAAATATATAAAAACAATAGCAATAGAATGATTTATAGTGAGTAACTCCAATACTGAGTAACGTCTTTACCATGAGTCAATAAAAGTGCAATCTGTGTTCTGGCTCATAAAGCAGCTACATGTAACTGCCAGAATAAAGGAAACACAAAGTGTCTTAAACGATCCGCCAGAACAGCTTTAATGAACCTTGGCATAGATTCTACAAGTGTCTGAAACTGTTTTGTTGATGGTGGTGGAAAACGCAGTATCAGCCGCCGCTCCAGAATCTCCCATAAGTGGTCAGTTGGGTTGAGATCTGGTGACTGAGACACACACACCCTTTAAACCCCCTATGCTCCTTTGGGACCCCTCTTTCAAAATCACTGAGATCAAGTTTTAATGTCACCTGCACAAGCACAGTGAAATGCCTTTCTTGCAAGCTCTATACCCAACAATCAATAACAATGTAATACTAAAAACAATATAAGGTAGAACAAAAACACACAAGAAATAAAAATAAGAAGAACATGAGAAAGTAAGTAAGCATACTATATACAGCATCTGTCAGTTCCAGTACCATGTTGACAATGTGCAGGGATACTGGAGTGATAGAGGTAGATATGTACACTGCTCAAAAAATAAAGGGAACACTTAAACAACACAATGTAACTCCAAGTCAATCACACTTCTGTGAAATCAAACTGTCCACTTAGGAAGCAACACTGATTGACAATAAATTTCACATGCTGTTGTGCAAATGGAATAGACAACAGGTGGAAATTATAGGCAATTAGCAAGACACCCCCAATAAAGGACTGGTTTTGCAGGTGGTGACCACAGACCACTTCTCAGTTCCTATGCTTCCTGGCTGATGTTTTGGTCACTTTTGAATGCTGGCGGTGCTTTCACTCTAGTGGTAGCATGAGACGGAGTCTACAACCCACACAAGTGGCTCAGGTAGTGCAGCTCATCCAGGATGGTACATCAATGCGAGCTGTGGCAAGAAGGTTTGCTGTGTCTGTCAGCGTAGTGTCCAGAGCATGGAGGCGCTACCAGGAGACAGGCCAGTACATTAGGAGACGTGGAGGAGGCCGTAGGAGGGCAACAACCCAGCAGCAGGACTGCTACCTCCGCCTTTGTGCAAGGAGGAGCAGGAGGAGCACTGCCAGAGCCCTGCAAAATTACCTCCAGCAGGCCACAAATGTGCATGTGTCTGCTCTAACGGTCAGAAACAGACTCCATGAGGGTGGTATGAGGGCCCAACGTCCACAGGTGGGGGTTGTGCTTACAGCCCAACACTGTGCAGGACGTTTGGCATTTGCTAGAGAACACCAAGATTGGCAAATTCGCCACTGGCGCCCTGTGCTCTTCACAGATGAAAGCAGGTTCACACTGAGCACATGTGACAGACGTGACAGAGTCTGGAGACGCTGTGGAGAACGTTCTGCTGCCTGCAACATCCTCCAGCATGACCGGTTTGGCGGTGGGTCAGTCATGGTGTGGGGTGGCATTTCTTTGGGGGGCCGCACAGCCCTCCATGTGCTCGCCAGAGGTAGCCTGACTGCCATTAGGTACAGAGATGAGATCCTCAGACCCCTTGTGAGACCATATGCTGGTGCGGTTGGCCCTGGGTTCCTCATAATGCAAGACAATGCTAGACCTCATGTGGCTGGTGTGTGTCAGCAGTTCCTGCAAGAGGAAGGCATTGATGCTATGGACTGGCCCGCCCATTCCCCAGACCTGAATCCAATTGAGCACATCTGGGACATCATGTCTCGCTCCATCCACCAACGCCACGTTGCACCACAGACTGTCCAGGAGTTGGCGGATGCTTTAGTCCAGGTCTGGGAGGAGATCCCTCAGGAGAACATCCGCCACCTGATCAGGAGCATGCCCAGGCGTTGTAGGGAGGTCATACAGGCACGTGGAGGCCACACACACTACTGAGCCTCATTTTGACTTGTTTTAAGGACATCAAAGTTGGATCAGCCTGTAGTGTGGTTTTCCACTTGAATTTTGAGGGTGACTCCAAATCCAGACCTCCATGGGTTGATACATTTGATTTCCATTGATAATTTTTGTGTGATTTTGTTGTCAGCACATTCAACTATGTAAAGAAAAAAGTATTTAATAAGATTATTTAATTCATTCAGATCTAGGATGTGTTATTTTAGTTTTCCCTTTATTTTTTTGAGCAGTGTATATGGGTAAGATGGCTAGGCATCAGGATACATGATAAACAGAGTAGCAGCAGCATATATGATGATTGTTTGTGAGTGGGTGTGTGTGTGTGTAGAGTCAGTATAAATGTATGTGCATATTATATGTGTGTGAGCAAATTGTGAAGTGAGTGTTTGTGTGTGTGTTGGAGTGTCAGTTGTGTGAGTTTGTAAAGCCCTGTGAGTGTGCATTGACAGTGCAAAAATATAAATAAAATACATTTAGTTAGCTATTTAATTAGCTATTTAGCAATCTTATGGCTTGGGGATAGAAGCTGTTCAGGAGCCTGTTGGCGTCAGACTTTATGCGTTTTGATGCGATTTTCCAGGCCTTTCTTTCACACCGTCTCATATAGAAGTCCTGGATGGCAGGGAGCTCAGCCCCAGTGATGTACTGTGCTGTCCGCACCACCCTCTGTAGCGTCATGCGATCGAGGGCGGTGCTATTGCCATACCAAGCAGTGATGCAGCCAGTTAAGATGTTCTCAATAGTACAGCTGTAGAACTTTGAAGATTTGAGGGCCCATGCCAAACCTTTTTAACCTCCAGAGGGGGAAGACGTGCTGTCGTGCCTTCACAACTGTGTGCGTGTGTGTGGAGCAGTTTAAGTCCTTAGTGATTTGGACACCGAGGAACTTGAAGCTTTCGACCCACTCCACTGCAGCCCCGTCGATGTGGATGGGGGCGTGCTCATGTCGGTCTTGGCGAGCGAAATCACTCAGTCCTCCGGGTCGGTGATCCTCCTGATGTAAGTTTTCCTGCTTGTTTATAGCCTCTTACAGTTCGTTAAGTGCCAGCTTGTTATTTTTCCTGAGGTGGAATGTATACAGCAGTCACGATAACAGCTGAAAACTCCCTCAGGAGGTAGAAGAGTCAGCATTTTACCATCAGGTATTCCAAGATGGGTGAACAATGTGTCGACAATTCCATTGCGCTTGAGTCAGCACACCAGTCGATCTTCTTCTAGCCATGATAGACAAAATAATGGGCAACTGGGCAGTTTTATACATGACCTTAAGCATTAATTGTTTAATTAACTCAGGAACCACACCTGTGTGGAAGCACCTGCTTTTAATATAAATTGTATCCCTCATTTACTCAAGTGTTTACTTTATTTTGGCAGTTTACCTGTAGAGGCCAGTCTGACAGAGTGACCCAGTGATCCACTGAACCTGGGGCTGGGTAAGAAAAGGGATGGCACGCAGCAGCCTTAGGGTTATAGGTTAAACCAGGGGTTGGGTAGATAAATGGACTGGCAACCTTGGAGTTAGGGTTAGCCCTGTGGCTGTACTGATATATCCTCTGAACTCCCACCCATAAAGAGTTACGGTTCAGGTCGTATGGTTAACCATTACTACACTGTTTAAACAAACGTGAGACCAATCTCCCCTAAGGTCAATATGGCTGATCCAGTGGTATAATGGGCTGGCTGCTCACACAAAACTCAAACACAGAGAAAGGTCTGAGTGGTGAAGTGAATAGATGAGCTCCTAGTCTTGGAAAAAACAGTCTTACAGCCAGTCCCAATTCACTCTTTACCCCTCCCCCTTGGCCCTTACCCTTCAATGTTAACAGATCTGAAGGATCTGCTTAGATATAAACAGTATAGTGGTGGAGCTTCCAACAAATTGCGTACACGTTACATATTTGCTAACAATGAAGGGTTAAGGCCAAGAGTAATAGGTAACTGGAGCATGGGCTAAAAGGGTTATAGATACGGCAGTAGGGGTTAGTCTTACCCTGAAATATGGGCAGAGCCCTCCACACATTGACAGGGCCTTGGCTGCAGAACTGACCGAAGGAACTCTCCAGGAAGAACAAAGGGATACCAGCAACAGTTAGCATGATAAAATATGGGATGAGGAAAGCACCTGGAGGGGGGAGAGAGAGAGAGAGAGAGAGAGGGGGAGAGAGAGAGAGGGGTGGCCAGTGGATGGTGGGACTGTGTATGGTCTTAAAACCAATGCAAATACAACAATCTGAACTATGCCTTAAGAACGTTCTGCCATGATTAAGTTTATAAGTTTGATTATAGGGTATTGAGTTCCCATTGTCACTCCTGCACATTAAGCAGGCTTATCTCACTGAGGGAGTATGTGAGTGTCTGTGTGAGTGTGTGTGTGTGTGTGTGTTTCCACTTACCTCCTCCGTTCTTATAGGCCAGGTAGGGGAACCTCCATACGTTCCCCAGACCCACAGCGTAGCCAATCATAGACAACATGTACTCCCTCTTATTGGTCCAGTTCCCCCGGTCAATATTCTCGTCATTGCTTCCCACATGGGAGTCCTGCTGCTGCTTTTCATGGTCATCCTTAACCTGTATGACGGACAGACAGATGGACGGACAGACACAGGGATGTTAATAGTAAGTAAGAGCAGATTTCAATAGCTTAGAAGACAATGGTAGGCCATTGTTCCATACTGGCAACACAATGGAATTAGTCTTTCTTTATTAAGAGTGACAATAGGGGAACATTAGTAGCCGATGCAAGTTGTATGCAATAGAGACAAATCAGTTTGTAACCACATCTACCAATTTGTTATTTGGGCTGTGCAAGTATTGTCTATTCACCAATCACCCTCTTTATATGCTGACTAAAAAAAGTAACCTCATCCCCAGGCTAACAAGATCAATTAAAAGACAGTCATCAGAATGAAGTTGCTTTGGTTGAAATATCATTCCTCCCATCAACCATGATATAATTGACTGCTACACAAACATAGTTGAATGTCATCCTACCGTGTCAGTGGCCGCATGGTTTTTAAATATTTCGTCCGTGAAACTGCACCAATATTTCCTCATTTTGCTGCTGTCACGTTCAGAAGAAGTGATGCGATGAGAAGCGTTTTCTTGGGAGAGACAGGTAGCGCAGGTATTTAAACTCCTGTGTGCCTGAGTGACAGACAGGTCACCAGCGTCTCTCTAGCCAATCACCGCTCTGCTCCCGGCTCTGTTCTCACATCCCAGCTCCCGATGAACCCTATGGCCACGGTTGAAGGTGAGTGAGTAAGGAATGTATTTGGGATTTTCTGTCATCACACTTTTTATCAGTCACCTGAATTACTGGCATACCTAATTATAGCTTGAGTGAAATGCTCGAAACCACGTGTGTGCGTGCATGTGTGTTTCCAAACAGAGAACAAAGACAATGACTGTGTCTACAGTATTTTCTGGGAAATACTTTTTCATTATTTTGTCCTCTCTAAGATATGACTAACTCTTTCTATTCGGTTTTATTCAGTCAATGCCAAATAGAACAGGTTGCCCATAAACCGGACGTGATTGGGAGTCCCATAGGGCGGCGCACAATTGGCCCAGTGTCGTCCGGGTTTGGCCGGGGTAGGCTGTCATTGTAAATAAGAATCTGTTCTTAACTGACTTGCCTAGTTAAATAAAGGTTAAATAAATAAAACAAAAAAATACGGTCAATTGCTTTGTAGTTTATTTATTTATTTATGACTTGCTAACTTGTTGAACGCGGCACATGTATAACTACAACCAGTTAGCATGCCAGAAATGTCCTTGTTCGGACAAGAACATTAACGCGGAATAAGTCACAAGGATCAGCCAGTGGTTGAGAATCATCTTGTAAAAACATACATCTCACAAACAAATCTGGGACAGTGTGTTCTTTTTGACTGCCATGGCAAAGCCAATTTCCTGGTAACTGTTATGAAATAGATACTGATGGTGTTTTTATGAATATGTATTGATGCATTGCAGCAGTATTGGAAACAATTAGAGAAGCAGGTCCTTTGTCTGGGCTTTTTTGACTGATTACATTGTATTGGTGTCACATCTGTGTCTAATAGAACTTTTCTGAAATACTAGGTAAGACACACCATACACTACCGGTCAAAAGTTTTAGAACACCTACTCATTCAAGGGTTTTTCTTTATTTTTACTATTTTCTACATTGTAGAATAATAGTGAAGACATCAAAACTATGAAATAACACATATGGAATCATGTAGTAACCAAAAAAGTGTTAAACAAATCAAAATATATTTTATATTTGAGATTCTTCAAATAGCCACCCTTTGCCTTGATGACAGCTTTGCACACTCTTGGCATTCGCTTAACCAGCTTCACCTGGAATGCTTTTCCCACAGTCTTGAAGGAGTTCCCACATATGCTGAGCACCTGTTGGCTGCTTTTCCTTCACTCTGCAGTCCGACTCATCCCAAACCATCTCAATTTGGTTGAGGTTGGGGGATTGTAGGGGCCAGGTCATCTGATGCAGCACTCCATCAAATAGCCCTTACACAGCCTGGAGGTGTGTTGGGTCATTGTCCTGTTGAAAAACAAAAGATAGTCCCACTAAGCCCAAACCAGATGGGATGGTATATCGCTGCAGAATGCTGTGGTAGCCATGCTGGTTAAGTGTACCTTGAGTTGCAAATAAATCACTGACAGTGTCACCAGCAAAGCACCCCCACACCATAACACCTCCTCCTCCATGCTTTACGGTGGGAAATACACATGCGGAGATCATCCGTTCACCAACACCGCGTCTCACAAAGACTGGAGGTTGGAAACAAAAATCTCCAATTTGGACTCCAGACCAAAGGACACATTTCCACCGGCCTAATGTCCATTGCTCGTGTTTCTTGGCCCAAGTAAGTCTCTTCTTCTTATTGGTGTCCTTTAGTAGTGGTTCCTTTGCAGCAATTCGACCGTGAAGGCCTGATTCACACAGTCCCCTCTGAACAGTTGATGTTGAGATGTGTCTGTTACTTGAACTCTGTGAAGCATTTGGGCTGCAATTTCTGAGGCTGGTAACTCTAATGAACTTATCCTCTGCAGCAGAGGTAACTCTGGGTCTTCCATTCGTGTGGCGGTCCTCATGAGAGCCAGATTCATCATAGCGCTTTATGGTTTTTGCGACTGCACTTGAAGAAACTTTCAAAGTTCTTGACATTTCCCGTATTGACTTACCTTCATGTCTTAAAGTAATGATGGACTGTCGTTTCTCTTTGCTTATTTGAGCTGTTCCTGCCATAATATGGACTTGGTCTTTTACCAAATAGGGCTACCTTCTGTGATGGCACACCTGTTAATTGAAATGCATTCCAGGTGAATACCTCATGAAGCTGGAAGAGAGAATGCCAAGAGTGTACAATGCTGTCATCAAGGCAAATGGTGGCTATTTGAAAAATCTCAAATCTCAAATATATTTGTTTTATTTATATATATTTGTTTAACACTTTTTTGGTTAGTACATGATTCCATTTATATATTTCATAGTTTTGATGTCTTCATTATTATTTTACAATGTAGTAAATATAAAGAAAAACCCTTGAATGAGTAGGTGTTCTAAACCTTTTGACTGGTAGTGTATCACTTTGGTGATGGATAACTGTAATATACGATCACTAAATACACCAACTTAGTTGCCGGGGACAATGCACATTTGTTTTCACAGCATTCATTAGTAGCCCACCACCGATATCAGGGAAGTGGTGAGAAGTGTTATTGATGTTCTCAGACTACCTGTAGCAGTAACAGCAGAGGCAGGGGAGGATGTGGTCAGATTTACAGAGATACAGGATGTAGCCTACTGTAGCAGGCATACATGTTGGATGTGGTTACAGCTTGGCTGTCAAGAGGACAATAGCTTCCATGGTCTCACAAATATACACACATATAATAATATGATATATTGCTCTTTGTAACTCAATTGGTGGAGCATGGCGCTTGCAGAACCAGGGTAGAGGGTTTCGATTCCCGGGACCATCCATACGTAAATGTATGCAAGTCTGTAAGTATCTTTGGATAAAAGTGTCTGCTAAATAGATATTAGTATATAAGAGTGCAGTGGTGTGTTTGTGGGTGTCACATACATAGGCATTACACTGACCCAGAGTGAGATGGTCATATATATAGATCACAGGTCATTACAGTAGCAGCACCCTCATCGTAAGATTAGATGTTTGTGGACCAAACACGTTACATCATGTTGTTGGTCCTAAACAGCCATTGTACAGGACTGTATGATCTCTTCCTAAATATTTGATCACATGATAGATTTTGTATATAGTTTCCTAGATACAAGGGGTGGCATCTAACCCTTTGGCTTGACTTCCCCCAGTTCCCCTACTCCTTCAGCCAACAGATGAATGATTGATGTGGCAATTAAGGACAAACAAAAGCCTTATTGTGATGGGTGTGTCAGTCAGCAAAGCCAAGACCCCACTCTCCCCTGGCTGCATTCCCTCCACTCTCTCCTCCATTCCCTCCACTCTCTCCTGCATTCCTCTCTGTGTCCTGGTGCCCCACAGAGACATAGTTGGGTGATCTGGTCTCTGTCTCTGTCCCTGTCCCTGTCTCTGTCTCTGTCTCTGTCCGTGTCCCTGTCCCTGTCCCTGTCCCTGTCCCTGTTTCTGTCACTGTGCTCTAACTCTCCCTTTTCCCCTGTCTCTCGTATAACAAACATACTGCAGGCCCTACCCAATGAAACAAATTTCAGGGTGCTGTGGGTTTGCTGTGGCACTTAAGTTAATTTAGCCAACAAAACAATATTTACTTTGTGAAACAAGAGATTTTATCAAAACCAACAACCGGTTAAGTCTTAGTAAAACATTGATACCTTTATCACGTCAGTAAGAAAGGCCTGTAAAGGACATCAGAACACCCAGAGGAATAATTATGATTTAAATGGTTTCTCTGTCCAGATCTGTCTTGTAAGATTTCCAGACACAATGTGTGTCTGACTACCTCTGGAGGTCGGCAGGATGATCTGATCACAATCAAATCACGATGTGTCTTTTTATTGTCTACATATGTCTAAGAATGTGGGCACAATCAGAATGTGGACAAGATTCAGGACAAAGGACACCAAGTTAGAACCAGGTGTAAATGGGGCTTTAGTCAATACTAATACCAATACATGCAATAGGACTACATTTCTCTCCAATCATAAATCACAACAGTCACATCCCTACTCGGGTTAGGACCAGAACACAGTGATTTGAGCCAATGGTTTCTATTTGTGGCTCATACATTGACGGACAAATTAATTTCCAAAACACTATATCCACCACTTTTTCACATTTGTGTTTTTTCATCAGAAATGATTGCTTATGGGTACCTTCATGTGTGTGCAAAATATTACTATTGTAAAGAAAAATGCTAAACGCTTTATATTTATTGTTTAGCTGGAATGGAATGTTCATATACTGTACATTTGACTGTGATATGTGGTTCTCACCTAGCTATCTTAAGATGAATGCACTAACTATAAGTCACTCTGTATAAGAGCATCTGCTAAATGACTAAAATGTCAAATATAAATGTTTTGCATACAGAGCTCATATTATTGTATTGAATTAGTTTTTTGGGAAATATTGATGTCACAAATACATCAGTTGTTCAGTTCTTTATAACATTTTTAGTTATATGTTACATTTGACTGTGTAAAACCTAGCAGTACTACTTATTTCTCTGAGAGCGAGGCGGATATGTAGCGTTTTGCAAAAAATACATTATTTGTGTCTCTGAAATGGATGTGATAGATTTCAAACAAATACATGTCTGTCATTGAACAACCCCATGCCATTATTAGATAGTGAAAAAACACACCAATCTCTTTCATAAGTTACTTAAACAATAAAATATAGTTTACCAACATTTCTGAAAATGGATATATAGCGTTTTGGAATGAAACTCTTCAAATGATGGACAGGCAACCGCCATTCGTCCATAGTTTTTTCTGAGTGTCAAAAGTTTAACTTTCGGCGGATAGATGAATGCATAGTGCGTTCTTCATGCATTTCATCTGCCTCTGTGTGGTCTTAGTCTCTTTACAGTAAGCCTTATGGAGAATAGACTGCATGCGTATTCATACATATCATATTATAACATCATATTGATAAAAGACACTAACTGTCAAATGGGGACACATACACACAAACAACGTACACACCAGTGGAGGCTTGTGGGAGGAGCTTTAGGAGGACGGGCTCATTGGCTGGAATAGAGTCAATGGAATGGAGTCAAACATGTGGTTTCCATTTGTTTGATGTGTTTGATACCATTCCATTGATTCCATTCCAGTCATTACAATGATCCCATCCTCCTATATCTCCTCCCACCAGCGTCCTCTGGTTCACACATCCTATTAGAATTGTGAGCATGCACACTCACATATACTGAACTCACTCACAGATACACACACATATATAAGACAAAAACATTGGACATTTGGCTTTGCAATCAACACAACAGAAATATACAATATTTTATATAAAGTTATCTTTCCTCAACAGAGTTGACCTTGGAAGAAGCACTTTCAACATGCTTTGAATGATCTACATTTCTAAAGTTTAGAGAAAGAAAAATGACCTGATATGAAGATCTATCATAATGTCCTTTGAATGATAAGAGATAAAACAACCAAGATAAACTTGGAGTAGGTGGGCCTTTGTGCCTTTACAGCCCTCTGCTGCAGCTTCTTGGTGAGATTCTGGAATTTCAATGTTATGCTAAAATTAGGACTGCTGCCCTATGCTCTGATGGTAAGATGATGATGCCACCCGGTGGTGAGATGGGTGCATTACACCTCAATGGTGTTAGCCAGACGCAGACAGAGGGCTGACTCCGAGGGGACATCCCCGGTGCTGATCTCATTCCCCTCCAGACGCAGTGTCCTCAGCCTGGAGAAGTTCATTACGTCCACGACACCACAGAAACTCCCCAGGGTGAACTCTACAGAGAGAGAGGAGGGAGAGATGGCGAGGAAGGGAGAGAGAGAGGGAGGGAAGGGAGACAAAGGAGTGGGAGACAGAAAAATAAAAGGGACGGATGGGAGTGAGAGAGGGAGAGGAGAGAAAGAGAGAGCTATTGTTTACATTCTGGCATTCAAACAAAAATGTACTTTGTTCGTTTAAGTGTTGCTGAAATCACGTCATACGAATCACCCAACACGAGTCCCACCTGCAGCAGCCACATCGCCCTCCACAGCCACATGAAGTGGTACCAGCGTCGCTGACCCCTCCACTAACTCTAACAAAGAATTGTCATCATCGACTTCGATTAATAGCGAAGACGGTATGCGTGTGTACATGCGCGTGTGTGTGTTTACTGCTTGCATGCTTACATGCCTACTTTACACACCTTTGATGTGGTTGGCCTGCAGGTAGAGGTGCTCAAGTGTCTGGCTGACGGAGGGGATCCTCTCCAGCTGGTTGAAGCTGAGGTCCAGCTCCACCAGGCCGGACACGTTGAAGGTGTTGGGGGGGATGCCATTGTCTGTCAGCTGGTTGTGGGCCATGCGGATGTACTGCAGCTGGGAGAACTTACTGAGGAAACCCTCTGGGACAGCACTGATGGCGTTGGACTCCAGGTACAGCTGGTGGAGGCGCTCTGGGAGACTATCTGGTACCTGGACATAGATTGTCAGTCGATCAGTTGATCATTCGATTAATCAATCAATCTAGCAAGCCGATTGCCATAACTGGCATCATTCAACAGTCACACACACACACCCTCTACATTACGGTACCTTCTTCAGCTTATTGCCGCTGACATCGAGCAGTGTGAGTGAGTTCAAACCCCTCAGAGACTTGCCCATCTCCGTCAGAGCGTTGTCATGGAGATACAGGATGGTCAGGTTGTCCATACCATCAAGGGCCGCTGGCGTTACCTAGGCACTCACAATAATACAAGCGTTATTAAACACACACACGCAAAAAAACGTTATTTAAAACATCTAGGCAACAACAACAATACAAGCTGAATTTAAATGATTGATAAAAACAGTGAGAAGGCCTGGTGCCATCATACTTGAAACAAGGATGAGTGTTGTCTTTCCAAGAGTTTGTATTTTTTACATGTGGCTTGATTGAAAAACATCTGGATCCACTTGACAATCAACATCCAAACATCTGAAGACAGATGAAGATGAATGAAAGTGTTTGAATGGGCAGCAGTGATTAGAAGTCTGAGTGTTGTTACCTTGTTGATATTGTTGTTGTTGAGTCTGAGGTCCCGTAGTGAGTGTGGCAGGTTGGGGGGAACACGAGTCAGGTTATTATGTTGAAGGTACAGACGCTCCAACCCCTGCAGCTTGGCAAACACCTAGAATACAATGATGATAAAATGATCAAAGTATGTTTGATTGATCAAAGTCTAGCGTAGTGTAGAGCAGGTTTTTGCCCTAGCACTACACAGCTGATTCAGATATCCAACTCATCATCAAGCTTTGATTATTTGAGTCAGTTGTGTAGTGCTAGGGCAAAAAACAAAACTAGGACCGAGTTTGGGAAACCCTGGTGTACAGTACTGTAGTGAATTCTAGTGTCGTATGGTGAAGTGCCGTGCATTTTGTGTTGTGTAGAGTAACCTACCTTCTTGCCAATTTTGTCCGTAGATAGCGCGTTGTGATGCAACATGACCCAGACAAGGTTGGTGGCGTTGGCCAGGGAAGAGTCTGGCATGGTGGAGATCTCATTGTGCTGCAGGTACAGGTACTTCATCCTGGAGGGCACGGTGGGCATGGTTGTCAGGCCACGCCCGTCACAGTACATAGCGATGGGGAAGGAGGGCGGGCAGTCACACTCCGCAGGACACTCCCCTCCGGTGGTGTCAGCCAATAGGGAGCCCTCGACGTAACCACGACCACGCAGGGCGGACAGCCAGAGGAATGGGTCCTGCCTGCCTGGCGAGGCGAGGGATAGCGGCAGGACACACGCCAAGAGGAACACACAGAATCCACTCATGGTCACACACGCAGGTCACACACATGCAGAAAAGGGCTTACACACAAGTCTACTGCAGCTTGAAGGAGAGAAGGAGAGGGAGAGAAAGAGAGGAGACAGAGTAGTTACGCAGAGTTCGGAAATGTGAGTATAACCTACCTGAACAAACTGGGAAAGACTCCAAATAACAGTGGAAAAATCTAAATCGACCAACCTGGCTCTACTGAACAAGAAATGAGGGAACATTGTAAAAAACCTATGGACTCTCCCTTTAGGAGTTTAAACACATAAATTACCATCAAAAGTAACACATGAAAGTATTGCATTCCTGCTGACAGATCTTTAGTACATAATGTACTACTGGACTCTGCACCATAATGTACTACTGGACTCTGCACAATAATGTACTACTGGACATTAGGACTACTTTTACATAGTCTAATGCAAAATGACCAGAAAAATCTAAACACCATAACCAATCATAACCAAAGGTGTCCCAGTGCAGAGCACATGTCAAAGAGCAGCTGACCAGCCAAACAGCAAGCAATATTGACTCAACACTGGATATACTGCATGTTAAATACTGCATGTTACTGCAGAGGCAGTATTTAGGGTTATTTCTCCATCAAGTAATTGGTCTAGAGAGGAAAATGTAAAAAAGGGAAGAATATATCCATGAATGCAGTCGTTGTATAAGTATCCACACTGGTGCCAAACCATTACACTGTACAGGGAAATGTCGAACAAGTGTCCTTTGATGCAAAAGAGAAATAAAAGTCCAATAAAAATGAAAGATGTGAGTTTGTCTTCTGTTTTCCACATTTCCTATAACATTAGGTGGTGGTTTAAAATACGCACACAAATGCATACACACACACAAACTTGCACTGGCACACACACATGCACAAACACACATCCATACATACTCACGCACACACACACACACACACACAACACACACCTACCTGATCAGTGAGAACTAGTCCCTCCTCTTGAGAGGCTGTGTAGGACTGAGAGGGACTTTGCCAAACACTTTGTGAAAACCTCTCTCTCTCTCTCTCCTTGACTCCCTTCCCTCCTCCATCCCTCTCTCCACCCATCCTTCCCTCTTGACTCCCCTTCACTCTACCCTTGCTAGTTTCCCTATCTCGCCCACTCCCTTTTCTTTCCTACCTCACCCTTTCCTGTTACTACTCACACAACCCTACCCCTCTGCTCCCTCCTCTCTTCTCCTATCAACCATTTCAAACCTGCCCCAGCTCTTCTTCTCTCTCTCTCCTTCCTCCACCCTTTGTCAAACCCAGTTGTACCATGGTCTCCTTCTCCTCCAGGTTGAGTATGTGAAAGAGAGTGATAGAGTGCTTTGCCGTGGGGTGGCTGTACCTGCAGTATTGCTCCCATCTGTGGAGCATGTTAAGCCCCTCAGTCCCCTATCCCCGCTAAACATCCCCATCTGTACCTGTACTAAACAGTCAGTTCCAAATTGGCCTCCCCTCTCCTCTTTCTCTTCTTATTTCAGGCTCATAACAGCTCTAAATGCATTCCCCCTGCCCTTACCCAGGGGCTTACATGAACTTACTTTCCCTGGGCTGTCCCACCCTCAGCCCAACCTTCCCCTCTCTCCAAAGTGTTGATCTTTACCCTATAAACCTATCCTGAAGGTTGAAGAACACACCTAAATTATACTTGACCTCGTAGATGCTGAGGGCTCTATTTTAACAAAACTAATATACAATGGTAAATCTAAGTGTTGGCGGTAGAGCTATAACTCTAAGGGATCCTGACACAATGACTACCGCCCTGTAACACTCACATCTGTAATAATGAAGTGCATTGCAATAGAGCTTGGAGGATAAACCCAAAATTACTGACACCAACATTGCCTTCCTCTTAGGGAGTGAACATTATTTATAAGGGTTACATGGTGAAAATGAAAATGGATGGCCCTACCTTCAGCAAAATATATTTGACCTAAATCCTCCCTGAATGCTTAGAAAGAAAAGTGACCCAAAATAACAATGAAAACAAAGTGGATAGCAGAGAACCGTTTACCCTCACTCCTTGGACAGACCACAGCCTTAGATATGCAGTTTTTAGAAACTGTTCTTCGTCCTTTAAGCATTACATGGCAACGCAGGAACTTTGATCGAGCACAGTGCTGCGGGCCGGAAGGTTGTGGGTTCGCAGACCACTGTGAACAAGAGTAGGGGTGGAAAGATATCCTTTATAGTAAAAGCATTGCATGAATCTATCATCGTATTTGCAGGTCCGAGAAAAACTGCCTTTTATAAAAATGTCATGCAATTCTATGTCATTTTACATATTAGCAGAATTTGTTTTTATATAACACAAATCACCTAAATTACTTGCTAAAAATGGACAGAGAGATAGGCCTATGTGTTCATCTTTTCATATTTCTCCAACTAAACTGTCCCTGTTTGCAAATAATTAAATCTGAGATGTCATTTGGAATCTGAGCATGGTACTTTCAAAAGTTAGGCCTACCTTTCCACACCAGACAGAGTAGGCCTACCGACGCAGAAAAATGTACGCTTTAACTGCTGGCTACTCTTCTGCTGTGGCATAACCCAATGAGAGACGGTATCAAGTGTTTCCGTAAAAGCTGTCTTGGTTAAACATCTTCTATTGCAAAGAAAGTGAATAGCTTAATCAATTGATAGTAAAATAAAATGGATTACTTCCCAAGCAAAGTATATTTTTGGTCTCCTCCTCTATAGAAGGTCAAAGATATCCTCATATGCATCAGTGTCACATCTTTCACAGGTATTGTACAGCTTGTTTCTAGCATAAAGCATCGCGGGTCAATGCGCTGTTATAGATCTCGTATATAATCGGATCCGTTTTTTTTCCTTTAAAATCTTAAGCTCACAATACCTGTGCTTTTTGCCATTTTCTTTAATTAAAGGATAGACCTATGGCATACCCTCTCATACCACCTCAATTTGAGTCTTGGTTTTAACTTAACAGCTCTTCACTGACACAGAGGTAGGCTATTTAAAGAGTGCATGGTGGGTGGAGGAATTGACCGACAAATCAATGTATATAGCACCCTATAGCCTAATTGAATCTGTCAAACAGTTAGGCCTACCTCTTATTTCTTAAATAGGAAGAAATAGGCTCCAACACAAAGCCCTCTTGTTGTTAGTAAAGTCTAATTAAAATGAAGACGGTTGAAATGAATGATGCCTACTCAAATTTGCCTACTTTCAGCACCATGAGCTGTCCATTTCTGATTGATTGTGCTGCTGCTGCTGCTTCATGTTTCAGCACCACAATGTAAGTTACATGAATTTGGCTTATTGTGAGGTCAATAACTCTGATAAACACATCATGGGCAAGAAACATATTGTTTTTAATAAAATCATAGTAGTAGCAAGCTATCAAAGTTGAACTCTGCTCCTCCTTCTCATCTTTGCGATCTCCTTCTCAAACAGAACAGAATATAGGCTATAGACTAGTCCGTGTACAATATAGTGCAATTTTTGGATTAGGCCTAATCTAAAATTATTAAGCCTTTGACTCTCCTCCTGAACTGCCGCCGTAGGCCTAGACAGCGCAACCATTGGTTAAGCAGCACACAAAACTGTTTTGGATCAGCAAGAGCAGAGCAGGCGGGGCTCAGGGTTGGAATATTCATTGCAGTTTACAATGCGTCCTAGTTTTATTTAGACCATCCTAGGATCTATCTTAGAAATATAACTTTGCTCTGTGCTTCTCTGAGAATGCACTTCGTAGCCTATAGCCTATAGGCTATGGATCATTTGTGACCGCCCGGCTCGATTCGGTCTTATGTAGCAACATTTGAAACTGTGTTTTTTTTACATTGGATTAAAGTAGAGACTCAGAACTAGAAAATGATGTATCATACACTACAGTTGAGGAACAATGGGAACTTGTAACCTCACTTTTGAGAAAATGGCCCTTGAATGTTTTGGTATCTACTGGAGAGCTCTTCTTTGTCTACACCCATTCAGCATAGTTCACATCCTTTTAAGCTTTAGCCCCACCCATCTCTTTAAGGATTCACATGTGAGGCTATGTACTAAACAACCAAAGATTTCAAGACTAAAGGCTGGCTTATACTACGGGTGTGTTCGTAAATTTAATCTGGAGTGCCAGAGTGTGCTCTGGGCGTTCGTAAATTTAGAGCGTTGTCAGATTGGCCGTTCGTAAATTCAGAGCGCTTCGCTCTCTGACCATTCAGAGCGCACACTGGACACTCTGGCCGAAAAGTAGGGTTGATCCGAGCATTCTGACCTAACAACAGCAGTCAAGCACCCAAGCTAACTTGCTAACGTTGGCTAGCTTGCTAGCTCCTTCCAGACACAAATGAGAGAACAGCTCACTCTGACCATTTTACCCGCCCTAGCAGAGCTGGTTAGGCTGTTTTTATGTTATCCAGAGCGTTGGTGACTGCAACTGTGCTGCTGACAACAATTTAATTACTATTTTTTGCCAACGTTTACTGACACCAGCCATATTCAACGGGTGTTGAGCGTTCGTAAATTTGTCAGTTATTCTGCGCTCTGGCACACTCAGACGAGAGTGCTCTGAAATCAGAGTAGATAGCCAGAGCGAATATACCAGCTACGTCTATTGACAGTCGTCGTGGTGACATCATAAACATTCTATTGAAATAGTTACTTGCATAGTGGAGTCTTTTGTTTAGACATGTAGCTCGCTAGCTAAACAATGAACCATAATCCCAACTCATAACGTTACTACCCTGCATGAATCTGCAGGTAGCTAACCAACCAGATTCATTGTTAGCTATCTAACATTGGGCTATAACTAGCAATGCAAATGGCTCTGAGATACAAATAATATTACTACACAGATCATACACGTAATGTTAGCTAGCTAGCCAGCCAGCTAACGTTAGCTTGCTAGTGTCGTGTCTGTTGTTGGTGGCTATTGCTGTCAACAAAGAGTCCGCTTAGGCAGATATGCATACATTAGAGCACTGTACCGCTTAAGACCCCAGGGGAGACATTTTAGAAATGGGCCGACAAATCCGCTTGCACGATAGAATGTGCAAGTCGGTGTGTTTTTAAAGAAAAACTCGGGTTGATGGAATTTATCTGATTTGTGATTATTGCTCGACTTTCGTCCGACGGGGGGTCTGATTGGGTGTAATTTCTCGGTGAATTGTCATTAAGTCCACGGTAGCACAAAACGGTAGGAAAATATGTCAAAAGAAAAAGGGCAGTGCAGGATGCTTGTTGCGTGGGGTAGGCCGCAGTTAGCTAAAGGCTAAGGCTAATGTTAATGCTAAATGCTGGAGTGTGGTTCATGCCACATTGTACATAGCGGCTAATGCTAAAGGCTAATGCTAATTGTGTTGCATGCTACATGCTAACGGGTGTCCTTAGAGGGCCATTGCGATGGATTAAAGCCTCTTAAACTTGTTTGTGTGTGTGGAATTCAGAGTTCTACGCAAATGTGAGCTCTGTTATGTGTAATTGTTCGATTATAAGGTATAAAATAGTGAAGCTGTAGCGTAATGCTATCGTTCTATTGTGTGGCAATCGTATGGTTAAATGGATTTGCGCATGCGCTTAATTTTACGGCGCTAAAACTACAACATGAGGAGATTGGTTAAACTACAACACGGGATTGTGGGTAAGGGTCATATTTCTGTGGGGTTGCGTGCTCAGGGGGAGACAGAGAAACACAGACGAGGGAACAAAGAGGAGAGATTTTAACACGAATCTTATAGTTTTAAAGCGGCTGCTGTTTGAAAATGAAACTATTTGTTGAGATGTAGTGAATTTATAAATTAAATATATGTTGAAGGAGTATAATGAATTAAATTAAATGACGGATTAAAATAAAATAAAAATGTTATTGAGCGATCTATTTAGTCCTGAATTAAGTCTTAAAGCGAATGTGAACGAAGGAATATTGAATATGGTTGAAATAACTCAGTGATTGCATTAACTACTAAAATCTTTTCCTGTGTCTCTGTTCTTTTGTCATATGAGAGGAACAATGGAGAGAGAAGGAGAGGGGGTGCTGACGTAGCGTCACGTGACGCGACAGAGGATCGAGTCAAGGGTTTGAGACTG